TGACGAGAGCCTTCGTCACCCCGTGTCCCTCCGGGGGGCAGGGGCAGCTCCCGGAGCAGCAGCAGCCGCCCCTCGCTGCCCCTGGCCCGGGCGGTCCCTGAGCTCCTGGCCCCGCAGCTGGAGCCCTTCGGGGAGCTCTGGCACAGCCCTGGCCCTGGCACAGTGTCCTCTGCAGCCATGGGAGGCAGCTGCAGCTCTCCTGCTGCCACCACCCTGCTCTGCAGCGTCCCTTTGCCGGCTCCTCAAGGACCAAAGCAGCTCTGAAGGACCGTGCTGCCTGTCCCGTGGCTCCTGCTGCCGCCAGCTCCTGCCTCTCCTGCCCCAAAACCCTTGGTGGAGGCCAGAGGGGAGGAGAGGAGCTGCCCTTGGGGGCCTGGTGCTCAGCAGCGTTGGTGTGACCCAGGAGTGAGCTCCCTGCAGAGGAGGCAGAGCCGGGGCTGAGCCCTGCTTTCCCCACACGGAGAGTTTTACAGCCCTGTACAGACAGCCCTGGGATCTGCCACGGGATCTCCTCTGCAGCAGCTTTTGCTGGAACACGCAGCTACACCCACAGGGAGCAGCTCCCTGCCGGCCTGCACAGGCAGGTCTGGCTTCTGCCCCGGGCAGGGAGGAGGATCAGACCCTTCTCCTTCACCCACACGGTGACAGAGCTGCTGCTGCTGGCCAGGCATCCCTGGGGATCCAAAGGGTGAAACCTTCTCGTGTCCAAACACAGCTGCTGCCCGCTATCGCTTCTGAAAGAAACAACCTGCCACACATCCAGGGTGAAACCCTGCAAACACAGCGACTCCCCAGACAGCAGGACACCACCCTGGCTTGATGAAAAACCGTGAAAAATCTCCCTCGAGGAGCCCGAGGCTCCTGCACTCCTCAGTCAGATAAGGGATGGGGCAGCTCCCTGCCTGGATGGTGGTGGAGTTTGGATGCAGGTTTGCACAAGCCCCTGGCCATCCCGGGCTGGATGTGTTACACGAACAGCCCCGAGGAGACACAGCTTCAAGTCTCAGCCTGAGCACCAGAGAAAGCTCAGTGCAGCTGTGCCTCGGCACAGAGCTCGCTAAACTTTGGCACAGATGTGCGAGAACATGGATGAATGCCTCCGGGAGGTTTGGACTCGCCCAGCTGGCTCTGCCAGCAGATAAAGGAGCTTGCACTGAGTTTGAATATTAAACCCTTAAAATGCCCCCAGCAGCTTTACCCCAGCTCAGCAGTGTAATTCAGCTGCTGGCTCCATCTGGGGGTCCACAGCAGGAGCTGGAGAAGAGCCAGGTGAGCAGCAGCACAGCCCAAGGCTTCAGTGGCACCTCCGTGCTCCAAACACGGCCCGGCACCACCAACACCCGCTCTCCTGACTGCTCAAGGCAGACTCTTCGAGCCTGAGGCCAGCACAGAGGAGTGGTGGGTCCCTGTAGCACAGGCTGGAGAAGAGCACATCTTCATGCTCTCAGAAATGGAGAAATGGAGGTTGAGAAGGGACCTCATCACTCTCTACAACAGCCTGAAAGGAGGCTGGAGGCAGGTGGGGATGGTCTCTCTCCCAGGTAAGCAGCAACAGGGTGAGAGGAAATGGCTTCAAGCTGCACCAGAGGAGGTTCAGATAGGATATGAGGGAGAATTTGTCAGTGAAAGGCCAGTCAGGCACTGGATCAGGCTGCCCAGAAAGGGATGGAACCACCATCCCTGGAATGCTCCAAAAACATCTGCATGTGGCATTTGGGCACATGGTTAAGGGGTGAACACAGCAGTGCCAGGTTAAAGGTTGGACTCGATGATCTCGATGTTCCAATCTTAAGGGTTCAAGTGCTGAGACAAACCAGGGATGAGGCTGCTCCTCCCTGCTGGAAGGAGAGGACCTGAGTGAACCCACAGCCCGACCCACACTGGCTCACCACCTTTCCAAAAGCCCTTCCCTGGCTCCCACGGGCAAGTGAGAGCTCTTACCCAAAGTGCCTAAAAATCCACACCAGGCTGCTTCCAGCTCCCTTGGCTGGAGCCGAGTGGTGGGGTTCTTGTGGTGCTGAGACAGAGCACCCCTGATTCATTTCTAAGCCAGAAAACAGAATGAAAACAACAGCACTCAGACACTGGGCACATACTTTTTATTCTGGGGATAAAAATTGCTTATACATTTGGCAGCAACTATTTTCATAAAAGACTTTTATAAAAAATGTAAAAATAAGCAAATATTTTCCATTATTAATATAGGAAAATGCTGCTGTGTGAATGGTTACTCTACAAACTTACGAGATAAAATACCACCTTAAGGAGATATTATCTTTACAAGTAGTTAAAAAAAAAAAAAAAAAAAAAAAAAAAAAAAAAAAAAAAAGAGAAGAAAGGCAGAGGGCCATCGTATTAACAAGGCCAGGCACAGAACCGGCTTCATTCCACAGAAAGCACTCATCTTGTCAAAGGTAGCCACATATATAAAAAGGCACTTGGTTATCTGGAGCTAGGGAGCAAAAGCCCTTTGTTTCTTTAGCATTGATGTAGCAACACTTCATTATTTGCAGTGAAACGTGTACCTGGACAGACCCCCCTGGAGGTCTGAGTCAGCTGCAGCTGAGCTTCAGGGGCGTGAGAAGCGATAATTTCACACAGAATTAAAAACTTCAGCCCGAAACGACGGCCCCAGCTCCTCCTGAGGCCCTGCCTTCATGTACCATTGAGTGGAACTGGGGGGGAGGGGAAAAAAAAAAAAAAAACCAAGGAAAAAAAAAAAAGAAAAGCAACTTTGAGTCTTGATTAGAATGGAAAGAAACAGCAGAGACAATACTGTACACGGTAGGGTGTTGGATGGCCGGCCCGGAGGGGAGCGGCCTTCAGTCCTTTGGCAGCAGCCGGCAGCCCCGAGCTCTTTGGAAGACGTGTCTGCAGCATTCCAAACCATCCCCACCAATGTTCACTTGGGCTGCTGGCCGGTCTGGAGCCCTTCAGAGAAGCGCTGCTCTCGTGGAAAGAGCGGCTGTTTGCCTCAGGCCAGCGCCAGCTGGCTTCCACAGCCCCAAAACTAGCGGGGCGGCCGCGCAGTCCCACGGAGCAGGTGGGGCGGCTCGGCTGGGGAACGTGCACCGGGGCTGAAGCTGAGAGCAGAGGACAGCCCCAGACCTGTGCACCAAACTGCGGCAGGCAGTGGTTTCTGAGCTGTCCTGGCGTGCTGCCACGGCCCAGCTCCTGGCTGCCGGGAGGGGAGGACGAGGCGGCCCTGCCCCGGGGCTGCGGCACAAGGGACGCTTTTCAAAGGGCTGGCTGTCGTTCCTGACGCAGAAGGACGCACACCACAAACACGTAACCGCGTGTTTGACACTTGCTGATGACACCATAAAGAGGCAGCATATGGTATCTGGAGGACAGGACACACAGCCACCCTTGGATGGAGGGGAGGGGATTACTGTGCAAGAACGCTGGGAGCTTGCGTTAGCAGTTTTGGAAAGACTGGTGCTCGTCCCGAAAGGCCTGGATCGGTTGCAGTGCATCTCCTGTGGCACAGGAGCCCACCAGGGCGGGCATGGACACCCCTGGCAGGACGGGGGCACGGGGAGGGTAGTGTGTCACACTGGTCACGGCTGTCTCGGGGAACAGATGGGCCCACGGGCGGGAAGACCAGGTCAGACCAGCGTTTTCAGGAGGGAAAATAACAAAACAAACAACCTAAAAAGACTATTATGTATATATAATCTGGTAATACCCGGGGAGCAGGCAGTGAGAACGCTAAGGGGGTGTTAGTGGGTCTCTACAAGATGAAGACTCCTGAAGAGGAGAGGCTGAAGCTGTGTGACAGGAGGTGTCACTTGACCTGCAGGTGTTTTGGGAGGTCCGGCTCGCTTGCTGAGCAAGAGCGGACCAGGGAAGGAAGGAGCGGGGCTGGGAATGTGGGTGCAGCTCTGAGCTGTGTCAAGACAAGGCAACTTGAACTCGAGGAGAACTAGTAGAAGGTGCTTCAGAGAGAGGTTACGTGGGTAACAGGAGGAGTAACAAAATAAGGATACAAAAGCTGGTTTTGGCTAAATTTCTGGAGAAACGACCACAAGATGTATGAAGCTGAAGAGCTGTCTCCCCAAAGCAACGGTGGAACGTGTTTAAAAGCAGACTGGAGACTCCAGTGCAGACAGCAGTCACGTCCAAGGTGCGTGGGAGTCGGTTAGAAGTGACCCAGCTGGTCTTCTCCATCACCAGCTTCTACAGTTCTCCTTTTAGCATAAAAGCACACAAAGTCTACAGCGACCACAGTCCCTCCAACGAAAGAACATCCTGGGCTCATTAAGACTCTTGGATACTAAAATGGTTCTTCATTTCCATCCTGGAAGACCTTCATGAGTTCTGGAGTCCGCTCTGGGTGGGCTGCAGCGTGGGCAGCCTTCAGGCGTACACCTGCATGTTGTTCCGCTGCTGCTCCGGCATGTGGGCGGCCGCCGGCCCGCGCTGGCTGCTGCTGGGACTGGTTGCCACGTCAGACCAGTCGGAGGCAGAGTGGGGGGAAGAGCTCGACCACTGGTCCGGAGATTCGGGCGACGGAGTCAGGTACGGGTGCTCCCCTTGTAAGTGCCGGTTGTGGCTAGGAGTCCGTTCTGTGGCCGAGGAGTAGCAGCTGTGCTGGGAGGGAGGCGTGGGGTACTTGCCCATCGAGCTCTGGAACTGGTGGTAGGCCGGGAGGACCGTCTGAGCCACCTGCCCGTCCTGCTGAGGGATGGCAGCCATGGAGAACGAGGCGCTGGGCAGCTGGGCCAGATCTGGGATCTGGTACATGGAGCTAAGGGGGCCGGCCATGTTCTGAGCGCAGTTTGACTGGGCCTGCTGCGGCAGCGCTTGCTGGTTTATGCCGCCCTTGGGAACCAGCTGGAAAGTCATGATGGGGGGCAAAGACTCCCGGGACACCCCCAGGTGCTTGGCCTCTGCTTGCACCAAGCCGCTCTGCTGCGAGACGCCGGGGTGGGAATGCATCACCTGGGGCACCATGCCGAACATCTCGTTGTACTGCGACTCGTTCACCTCCATGCGGTTCATCCACTCGCTGGAGACGCTGCCCGGCCGCAGCCTGCCGAGCCCGCTGCTGGGAGGGGTGGTTCTGTGCTGCGACAGCAGCTGGCTGACGGACGGCAGCACCGTGCCCGAGCCACGTCCCAGGGGCTGCATCTCGTGCAGGTTGGAGAAGGACATGGTGTGCGCGGCCTGCACCGCCGGAGCGGCCAGCAGCGAGCTGGGCGACGAGTGCAGCACCCCCGGCGACGGCATCACGGGGGAAGAGGTGGGTTCAGAGGCAAAAGCGTGGGGAGACTCCAGGGAATCCACCGGTGACAGGGTCACTGAGCTCTCTGAAAACTGCCCCTTGCCCTCGCTGAGGGACTTCTTCCTTCTCCTCTTTGCATCTTTGGTGAGGCCGGCGGGCATGCCTTTGGCGTTCGGTTTCCGCGACTTCTTGCTCAGCGAAGCGTGTTTCAGGTTGAGGAAGGACCTGTTGGGGCCACAGATGACCGGGGAGAGGGCAGAGTTCAGCATGGCCCCGGGGTGGCCGGCAGGGCTGTGGGCCACGTTGTACTCGTTGAGGAGCTGCACGATGTCGTGGTGCATGCGGTCCTGGGCCACGTCCCGCGGCAGCCGGTCCATGTGGTCCGTGATGTCTCGGTTGGCAAAATGGTCCAGCAAGATTTTTGCGGCTTCGAAACTGCCTTCCCGAGCAGCGAGGAAGAGCGGAGTCTCCTCCTGGAAACACAGACAGTAAATATTTTAGCAGCTTGGGTGTTGTGGGGGCTGACTGACAGCTCACAGTAATCCCTTATGGTGTGGCAAGCACTGTGAAAGGCAGTGTCAACATCAACAGTCTCCAAGAGCCACCCACCCTGAGAGATGCCCACTGAAAAAGGCATATTGCAGGTAATTTCGTACACAGTGGTGGAGCACAGGCGGAACTTTCCCACCAGGAAGGGCACTGCTGTGCCCTGGATCCTTGGAGGAATCACAAAAACACCCGGTGCCTTCCTCCCATTGCCCCCCATGAAGGAAAGGTGCAAAAGGCTAAAACAGCCCAGTAAGGAACTAGAGCTTGTTGGTGGCTCTAAAAACTGCTGAGCCATACGCAATAATCCAAAGAAGACACTTCAGGCAGAGAAGAGAAATCAAGGACTAAGACACAGCAAAAACTAGCAGCGAAGCTACAGAACATCTGCACAGTGCAGTCTGTCAAACAGAGGGGCTCGTCCCCCATCTCCACCCTGTGCTGAGATCCCTGGAAACCTCACAGGACACGACTGCCGCTGTGCCAACAGACACTTCTCTGTTTCCTCTGATTCCTAACTGGAATCCAGCTGTTTGACACCAGCAGCTTCACCTGCTGCCCCTCACACACCACCGGCTGTGTCTTGCATTCCTTCCCTCCAAGGAAAGCAGCTCAGCGTCGATGCCCAGCACTTGGCCAAACAAGGAGGACAACTGCCCTCCCAGACCAGAAACCCTGCCAGACACCCAGCACTTGGGGAGAGCCCCAGTCTGGCTTTGGGAGACCTGCACTGAGCAGCCAGTTTAGAAAATCTGAACTTGGTTCACTACCAACAGTGAAGAGATGCTTTGAGTTGGGAAGCACAGGCTTGCTGAGCACGGCCACACTGTACCTTGTTATCCTGCATGTCTCTGTTGGCTCCATTTTTCAGCAGTACTAGTGTTGCTTCCACATTGTTGACAGCAGCAGCCCAGTGAAGAGCAGATTTACCTGCAGGGAAACACAACAACGTCAGTGACAAAGCAAGGAGCTCTTCTGCTGTTTTGCTTCCCCTCCAGGATTGTTTAACCAAGCCACTGTGCAGCAGCCTGCAGTTTATTCCCACTGGAGGACTTTGCAGGACAGCCCAGTGCGTGGTTTAGCTAGAGAATTCAGGAAGAGCCCCCACTCTGGGAGAGCAGAGCCCACCCCTCCCTGCTCACACCGTGGCAAACATTTGGCCAGCCTGGCAGCCGGTGTTCACGTTACCGTGGTCATCCACGGCGTTGACATCAGCCTGGCAGTTAATGAGCTCGGCCACCATCCCCTCCACAGCCAGACGTGCAGCCAGAATTAACGGGGTCGTCCCGTCGTTCATCCGAGCATCCAAGTCTGTCACTCTGTTACGGATCAGGATCTGGACAAGAGGGAAGAGGGAATTTTTTTTCAATGCCACTACAGACCAAAACTGAGGATCTGGCAGAATCTCAGGAGAAGTTTTTACAAGGACAAAGCAGCCTGAGCGCTGGAAATGCAAGGAGCCAGAAAACAGGTGACAGCGGCCAAACAGACCAAATAAATACACGCCAGATGATTTATGCACGCCGAGCTCTTCGAGCTACGAATACCTGAGGAAACTGGATGTAAAACAGCCCAGAGCTCTCCAGTTCCATACCTGGAAGACACCCTGGGCATCAGCAGCCACAGCTGCGTGCAGAGGGGTGCGGCCCATGTTGTCGCGAGCGTTGGCGTCGGCCCCGGCGTCCAGGAGCCGCTTGGCGGCGTCGGCTCTGGAGTAGCGCGCTGCCAGGTGCAGAGCCATCTCCCCGGTGCGGTCTGTCTGCGCCTGCAGGTTGGCCCCCTGGTAGATCAGGTCTGTGATGATGTTTGCTGAGGAGTCCTCCCCGTCCTCGTCGTCCTCGCTGATGTCGGAGCCGCCCGCGCGCAGCGATGCCAGCATCAGCGGAGTGCAGCCGTCTGCAGAGGGGGAGATGGGGAGATGGTAACCTGGCAAAGGCATGGAAACCTTCCTACAATCCTTCTCCCCTGAGCTCCAATCCCTCCAGCTGCTATAACCCAGACCTCCTCTTAAATCCTCTTAAATCTTTAATCTTAAACAGTTAGCAAAGTTGTCTTCCTTCCAAGCATGTGCACCCACTGCAAACCCCACAGAAATTAAGACTAAAATCATCATAAAACAAAAAAACCCTTTACTGCTAAAGTGCAAAACTCCCACAAAAAGTAAAGGTTAACTGAGAGAAGCAAGGGCTATAAAAATAAAAGTCATCTGACGACCAAGTGTAACTGTACAGATGTTCTAACCACATCCCTGGGGAAAACAAACAGTTGAAGGAAAAGTTATTGAAGAACTTGCCACTGATTATTGGTGACATTTGACTTCAGATATTCACCTGAACTGAAATGCAGACAAAAGCCTTCATACCTGCAGCAAGGTTATCATGAGGATCCTGAAGCTGTGAGAGTCAAGCAGCCAAAGCTGACAAATGCCCCAGGATGAGTACTCTGACACAGACTGAGTACTTTGGGAGATACTGATCTTACTCTGCTCAAGCCTCCAGTGATGGGATGTCCACAAAGGCTAAAGTCACACTCATCCAGCCAGGATCCCCGCATTGTGGAAGGAGAAAGGCCCCTCCAAACCTCTAATTTAACTCAGCTCCCTCTGATCAATACTTTCTGCTATACGGAGAGGACAGAGCAGGAAGACATCCTCATGCTGCTGATTTTTCATCCTAGTTAATATCCTCCTTGATGCAGGATAATAAAGATTTAAAACATAAAAATGCCAAGTGCTTCAGTTCCAGCAGCCTGGATATTTCCTAAAACCCCAAAACTGTGGCTGTAGATTCTAATACTGATTACTTCCTTGCTGATTTTACTCTGCACATCCTTCAGAGGCACCTGGAAAGCAGGAGGGACCGAGATGGCAGCAAAAGGGGACCTCACCCTGCTAATGGCTCCACTGGAGCCCACCAGCAGAAACACAAGGTAATTTTTTCAGCAGGTGCCTGATTTATCCCATGGGCAAGCAGGGGACAAACAACAGCTCCTCTGCTCTCAATCGCAGAGCGCTGCACAAAGCCACGTTCTGTGCACATGAATGAGGTGATATCTCCTACTGGAAGTGACACACACAGCTCTAATGCCCTGCTCCCATTTCCCAGCTTCTGATCCCTGAGTCTTCCTGGCTCTCTGCTTTAGGATAGTCCCAAAACTTTCTAGAAATCTACGGGCACTGGAGGAGCGGGCTCTGCCCAGGCTCCAGCAGCCTGCACGCTCCTCCTAGTGGCTCCCCACCACAGGACACACAGCCTTCCTTCCACCCTGCTCCTTTCCCAGGATTTGCTGGACCTCCATCCTTTCCCAGGATTTGCAGGACTTCTACCTCACTCCTTTCCCAGGATTTGCTGGACGGCAGCAAAGTGTTGATGTTTGGGCACGGGTTCAGCTCTGAGATCCAGTCCTGTCTACAGACCCTCTGTGCTGCTCTCCCAAAGCCTTTGTGCTTCTCCCTCCCACTGCTGGCTCTGCTCCCTTGTCCCAAATGAGCACTCCTCAGTATTCCAGTCAGCCTGTGGTCTCCTCAGCACTGCCACAACACAAAGAGCAGAGAGACTGAGCACAGAAAGGAGCTTTCCTTTCCTCCAGCACCACAGCTCTGGGAAAAACCACTTGCAGGATAGGTCTGGCTTGCTCAATTCACTGCAGTTGTCCTGGATGTTCGTGCCTTGCCTTCTCCACAGGGACAGCACAGCATTAAAACCCTGGAATAATTAACTGCCACCCTCCACAAAGTTTCTCAGGTATGTGCAGCTCTTCTCAGAGCTTTGCAAGCTGGCCACACAAGGTTGGTTTTATGAGGCTAGCAAAAGCACATCCAGCTAGACAGTCACAATTAAGTGCTTGATGGACTACTGGAGGGAAAAAAAAAAAAGCTGTGGACACAATGTCTTTTTTCCTCCTTCCAGCTTGTTCTCTCAAAGAGCTGGAAAAGAACCCAAAAGCATCCAGCTGGAGGCAGACACCCAGCATGGAAAATTCCAGCCTAAAACCACTGAAGTTTTAGTAACTGAAAAAAAAGAGGGGCATATAATAGGGACAGTTCATCAATTTTAATTATAATAGGTGGTGTTAGCAGTTATGCCAATAATTGCATTACCCTGGTTACACACTCACAGTAACTCCAGTGAAAAGAATGTCCTCACTGCTCTGGGGGACGAGAATAGCGTGGGGAGACAAAGGTGGTGGCAGCATTTTGTAAAAACTCTTCTGTCTTTCAGTAGGACAGTAGATGTACAATGCAGAGCGAGACAGTAAAGTCAGGAGTTCACCAGACAGGTACAGACAGGCACAAGGTGCTGAAAGCTGGGCTATAAGGAACCCACAGCAAAAATCTCTGGGTGATGCTTCTGGAGGACAGCTCTTGGATCCCCCTAAATTTGAGAGATTGCAGAAGGTGCTGGGTTAAGAGAGGGAGCAAACCCTTGGCACACTGAGGTGTTTCTCCTCTCTCTGGAAGAGATCTCCACTGTTCAGCCTGCACCTGCAGCCAGGATCTAACTCAGCCAGCTGCAGGTGGCTCCAGCACAGACACCTGCACTCAGGTCAGCCAGCCTGACCACCCTTTGTAATTAATCAGGGGCAGCAAGGCATTACTGGGGTGTGAACCACCCAGTTTTCAGACTTCTTGGGACACAAGGGAACTGCCCATTTTTTTCCATCTGCCTGCAAAAATGAGGGTGGCCAGAGCAGAGAAACAGCCACATTAACTGTGAGGAATCCTACCCCTCCTTACTAACCCGTTATTCCAACATCTCTCAGACTTTTAAAATTATTTCTGACCCTGACAGCTGCTTGCTTCTGATGCCACAGAGAGAAATAACTTAGAGCAGCCTGCTGGAAGCTTCACAATTGTATCTGGATGGCAGGAAAACAACTCACAGGTCGGTATTATTTCATTGCTGTTGTTGGACAAAGCTTTGGGTGAACATGAAAATAAGCAGTTTGGAGTCTTAAGAACATTATTGCCTGCACTTGGAAAGCTTTTACCCTGCCACACAACTAGAGGTTTCAGTGGGAGAAATAAAGAAAAGCTTAAATTTGGCAGAAACTGATGGTTTATGTTCTCACACTGGTTACACAAAAATCCCTCCTTCCCTTTGCATTAAGGAGAGCCAACGGGTCAATGAGCAGAAAAGACAATAGAAAGGAACTGAGAGAATGGGTCCAGCCATCCTTAAATTGCATGGAAATATTCCCACAAAAGGCAGTAAAAACAGGAATTGCAGCAATATCACCAGCACCACCTCTCTGCACATGAACAAGAGCCATGTTTGCAGCTCTTCCAGCCAGAATAAAGCTCTTGGTTGACTGTCTCCTCTCAGAGCCCAGAGATCAGCTATCACCAGATGACCCTCCCAGTCTCTCACCAGCTCATGCAGCTTTAGTACCACACATAAAAAGCAGAAGGGGGTTCCCAGTGCATCTAGTCACTTGGGACTGAGAGAGAGCAAACCTGCCTGCATGTTAAAGAAAAACCTTCAAAATCCACAGTTCTTTTATGAATTCAATGACTTGATCATCCTAAGCTGGAGATATAAATCAGGGGATAAAATAAAAATTTGTGAACAATCTTGCTGCATTGCTGCTCTGCTCAGGACAGACACCTCACACACTGCTAATGAGGGTAGATTGTCTGCCAAAAAACCCTCTTGTTCAGGAAAAGGCCATCCTTGCTTCCTCAACTGGTAACAGACACACCTCAGGTATAAAATCTGCTAAGCTGGTCCTTAGAGAAGTCTGGCATAGATCTCTGCAGTGATCCAACTGGAGAAACTGAGGGTCATTTCCAGCACAATTATGCATTCAGAATTTCTGACAATATCACTTGGGCACACACTGTTATAAATGAGATTCTACAGGTGCTTGATAAGTGAATTTTTTTCCTCCTGGCTCCATAATATTCCATGTGCTACAGATCATGGTTTGAGCTTTCCAGCTTTTTCTTTCAGGGGTGCACACTGTGCATTCCCTGAGCAGCACAGAATTCCTGCTGGTGTTCCTGCATACTCCATTGACTTTGTGCCACCAGCAGCCCCGGCCATGGGAGCCAGGAGGGGCTGCTGGCTGGCAGGACACACAGACACCGAGTACTGACCTGGCCCTCTGACATTGACATCCAGAACATCCACTTCTTGGTCAGCCTGGGGGGGTGTGAGGGCCAGGGAGGTGCTGCCACAGACGTCTGCTGCCTCCAGGTGCTGCTGTGTCCACTGGCGCTGGTCAATCTGCTCGTCCCCTTCTGGCAGCAGGGCCTGGTCCTCAGCCTGAGCACACCAAAACAGCAGATGCTTCAAAATTCACAGCAAGTGGCCAAAGATCCTCAGAGTTCTCGGGGTGCTCTTAGTTTTGGTGGAGTTTCTCAGGGTTTGGGTGGGGATTTCTATCACATTTTGCTTTTTTGGGGGGTTTGTTTTTTTGTAAGCTAATGGTGGTCTCCATTTATTTCTGCTTGGCATTCTCAGCTTTCATCCTCTCACTATCCATTGTCAGGCCTGAACTGCAAGACATGACATTAAACCTTCCTGTCCCTTTTGCTGCTGTAGGGAGGGGACCCTGGAACAGAAGGTGAGTTTACTTTCTCCAGTGTGGTGGCAATGTTAACCTGAGGATTTGCTCCTCAGATACTATTAACAATTTATTACCAATCCCTAGGCCAAGGGAGGCTTTCAGCGAGGGAAGGTGATGCAGAGGGTTCTCACCAGCAGTTCCAGATGGTATTTAAGTCTTGGAGCTCCTTACCTTTGCTCTCTTTGGCTGAGGTCCACCATCACCTGCCCAGTGCTCAGTTGTCCCAGGGTCAGCCAGGTTACCCTCTGGTATCTGCACTGACAGATTTCTGACAAACAAGGAGAACGTGTCACTTTGCAGCCTGAGCAGGTGCTGCTGCTGAAACTAACACTATCCTACAAAGGGGTGCTTGGAAGTTTGGTAGCTTGCAGAGGAACCAAGAAATTACAGATTTCAGGCAGCCAACAGCGGCATTAAATGCACTGAGTACTGAAAAGCTGTTTAATTCACTGGAAAGCCAAAACTGCATGAAACTTTAGAAACTTTCCACTACTTCTGAGTCACATTTTTGATGCATTGAGCTAGAAATACTAGGAGTTTGCTGTCATCTATCAACCTAAAAATGTCACACCTATTCCAGGAGAAAATTAGGCAAACTGTGCCCAGCTGCTGATCTATACTGCTCAGTGTCAGGAAACCAAACAAAACCAGGAGATCAGATTCCTTGTTGGCATTTTATACATTACAGTTAATTAAAATTCTTCTCTCCAAACCAGATGATTTTAAATTTACAGGAATAGCCTAAAAATTTCTAGCTTAAAAGGAAGCTTTCTCTAAGGAGTTAAGTGCCTTTGGTGAAACATATTTCAGCCACGTTCTCAAAATCCTCAAGCCACTAATAAACAGAATGTCAGTGGCCTAAATGCAAACTCACTTGAGTCCAACAGCATCTTCCCCCACGGGCTCTCTGCGTTTGTGGTTGCTGGGATCCCTGCGCAGGATGAACCCCTCTGGCAGCCACAGAGAACCGTGCTTGCGCTTGCGCTTGGCCATCATCACACCCAGGAGAAGGATCAGCAGGATGATCAGAGCTGCCACAGCAAGCAGGTAAAGCAGCTGGGTCTTTGGTGGTAACAAGGGCTCACCTAAAAATTCCAGTGAAAACATGGTGTGATTAACAAAGTGGAGACAACAATCTTCAACCTACAGAGTCTCTTTTCTCAGCACAGTCCTCCCCAGCCAAAGATCCTGCTCCTTCCTGCAGCCATCCTCACTTGGCACAGGGAGAGCTGATCCACATGAAGATGGCCCAGCTAGGAAAAGCAATAATGCCAATCTAGAACAGGTTTGCAGCTGAGCCTCAGACTGAGGGAGATGGAGCAGAAATCAAAGAGATTATATATTGCCAGAAGAGAAATCCTCTGGTAGACTGGACTGAGGAATGCCTCCCAGCCTCTCTCTAAATGGCACCTTTTCCACTGAATTCATGGCTTAAAGCACAGGGATGGTTTCAGTGCAGAGATCACCCTTGCAGTGCTGTAGCACGAGAGATTACTGATTTGACAAGTAGTGAAGTGACTGGGCTCCAAATTAAACGTCCTGCCTTACTAACCAGACATCCCCTCTGTGCACTTTGCACAAACACACTCCTGTAACTGGGGACAAACAAGTTACCTCCCAGAAACCACACTGAACAGCGAGACACAAGAGGATGATCATGGATAACCTGAGCATTTTGCAAGCCCAAGTTTGATGACTGCCCCCCTCAACAGGCAATTTCCCTCTGCAATTACTCACTTTGGACAGACACAAAAGGATAGGGCAGCATGCCCTTGATGGCCTGAGCAGCCAAGAGAGCTGCAGCAGCTTCTGTGTTGTGAAAGCATTGCTCCGAGTCCTCTGCACACTGCCTGTTGTCAATCTCCAGGAACACCTTGGTGCTGCAGAGACACAGGAAGAGGGCATGGAAATGAATCAGTGACAGAAACTTATGCCAAAGCAGTAGGTTAAACTGCAGCAGCCTTTTATGTTCATCTTTCTATCTTTTATGTCCATCTTTCTACCTTTTACGTTCATCTTTCTACCTTTTATGTCCATCTTTCTACCTTTTACGTTCATCTTTCTACTTTTTACGTTCATCTTTCTACTTTTTACGTTCATCTTTCTACCTTTTACATTCATCTTTCTACCTTTTATGTCCATCTTTCTACCTTTTACGTTCATCTTTCTACCTTTTACGTTCATCTTTCTACCTTTTACGTTCATCTTTCTACCTTCTATGTTCACCTTTCTACCTTTTACGTTCATCTTTCTACCTTCTATGTTCATCTTTCTACCTTTTATGACCATCTTTCTACCTTTTATGACCATCTTTCTACCTTTTATGACCATCTTTCTACCTTTTACGTTCATCTTTCTACCTTTTATGTTCATCTTTCTACCTTTTATGTTCATCTTTCTACCTTTTATGTTCATCTTTCTACCTTCTATGTTCATCTTTCTACCTTTTACGTTCATCTTTCTACCTTTTACATTCATCTTTCTACCTTTTACATTCATCTTTCTACCTTCTATGTTCATCTTTCTACCTTTTATGTTCATCTTTCTACCTTTTACGTTCATCTTTCTACCCCAACGCCGAACTGGGGGGTTGCAAGAGCGTTACATTTTCCCATTTACAAAAACAGCCTGCTGCCTTAGAAAGTCCAGAATGCTCCACAAGCATTCAGCAAGGCCAGAGGGAGACAGAGCAACCCACTCACCCAATGACCTCTTGCTCCAGCTCTCTGTGCTTGCGAACCACCACGAGCGAGCGGCGGCTCCGCGCCGCCGGTTTCTCCCCGTAGTAGGGGAACACCATGAGGTTCCCCTGGGAGTCCAGCTTGATCCTGAGGTTGGTGTGCAGGAGCGTTCCCAGAGTGCGCAGGAAGCTGCGGACATCCTCCAGCAGCTCGTCAGGGGGCATCAGGACCACGATGATGAGGGTGCCCTCTGCCAGCTTCTCGGCTTTGTCGCCGGCGCAGTCCAGGCCGTCCCAGCCGCACTCCTCGCTGTTGCAGCCCTGGTCGCAGCGCCCGTCCGCGTAGTGATCCGCGCAGTACTTGTCGTACCTGGGGCAGGGAGAGGCGAGAGAACTGCTGATCCTGTTTGCTAGGGTGTCTTAGCACCTCCTGCCTCAGCCAAGGGAGAATTGTCACTGCAAAGCTGCAGCGTTTGGCACAAGTAACTGAAGAGAAAGAAGTGCCGCTGCAGATAAGCTGGAAAACACGTTCAGAGGAAGCAAACACAGCTGGGATTAAAACACAGGTATGGCTGGTATGGAGCAGAATTCAGGATAGCAGGCAGTTCCATTCAAATCTAGTACAAGGCAAAATGCCTCCTATTTACATTTCCAGGGAAAGCAGGGCACATCCACCAAGCAGGTTAACACATTACCATTATTTGGGCTACCCACTTAGTGCACAGAGCACAAATTCCAAAAATAGACGAGAAATGCACAAAGCAGCAGAAACTCCAGGATGCCGAGGACAGCAAGAGAAACAATGGGAGAGAAGGGAGCAACAGGCAGCAGCTATGTTAGCCACACAGAGCAAATGTTCTCAGCATCGAGCCTTACTTGCAGGTCCTGCTATTTTGCTGACACTCGAAGTTGTCAAACAGGCACTCGGGCGTGTTGCAGAACTCGTCACACTGCCCATTGAACAGCATCCAGCAGCGCAGGGAGGAGGAGCAGTTGGCCCAAGGGTCCTCCATTGTCAGGGAGCAGTCTCCTCCATCCCACTGGCACGCATGGGTGTTGCAGTCCTCATCACAATAGCCATCCCTGGCTTTTTCTGCACACTGGGAATCCAGACATCCTCGGGGCTCCGGGCTGAAAGTCACGGGCTGCTCACAGTGGCTGCCCTGGGTGTGAACAGGGCACTGGCAGTAGTAGTAAGGAGGCTGAGAATGAGGGTGGCAGCTGCCCCCATTCTGGCAGGGGCCACTGGCACAGCCTGGGTTTGTCTGGCATTCCTCTCCCACAGACAGCTTGGGACAATAGCACCGTGGGCCAGAAGATGTTTGGATGCACTGCTCCCCCTTCTTGCATTTCACCTGTCCACAGGAACTGTGGCTGCTGAACTCACATTTGGCTCCAGAATAACCCTAGAGGGTGGGGAAAAAAAAAAGGCAAAACAATCAGTGGCACAAACCTATTCTTCAACACTCTGAGGCAAGGTGTCATGTGCAAATCCTTCCTCCTCTAGCCTCACTGCAGGAGCCATGGCTTTCTGGACCTAAACTAGGGGTAAACTAGGAAATCACAAGGCTCTGTTACAGTTTGAAAACAGCCTAGAAGAGCCACAAACAAGGGGAATCTTCGCAGCAAGCAGAAAACTCAGCACTGCAAAAACTAACCAAAAAACAAACGGTAATTTAATGGTAGTTTTAAGACAAAAAAGCCAGCTGTGATACTTGTTTGGGACAGCAACAGGCAGCATCACTCTCCTGGGACACCTGGAAGCCCTGGATCCCCCTGCTAAGCAGATGAGCTAAGGGATGTGGGTAAAGAGTGTCCCATCTTGGCCTGCAGTGGTGCAGAGGTGCTGTGGTGCTTACCGGGGGACACTGGCAGATGAAGCCATCGGGCATGTTGCTGGCCACAGCGCAGGTCCCCCCGTTCTGGCACGGCTTCCGGGGACACACGTCGATGACACTCTCGCAGTGACGGCCTGGGATGGAGCACGGGGAGAGGAGAGCAGAGAAACACGTGAGAGATCACCCCAGAGCGCTCCTGGCAGACTTTTTTGGAGGGAGCATCTCTTTGGATAAGGTGTGGTCTGCACCTAGCTGCACGAGCAGTGGAAGGCACAACCCCAGAGTGCACAAGGTGTGCCTGGAGACAGCTGAACTCCAGAGCACGCTCAACACAGCACAAAGATGGAATGTGCTGCTGCTGTCTCCAAGTCAGCCAGGCACAGGGCCTGGAAGTGATGCACCAGTTTGGGGCTTCCTAAGACTTCTGTACTTTTTGGGAGATGCTCAGTGAGTCCAAGGGCAAACCACACTGTAACATGAAAGAACAACCCTCAGGACCAGATATACCACAGGAGAACCAAGCAGAGTCTCCTCAGACAGAGATCTTACTGCGCTGACCAGCTCACACAGTCAAACTGACACCAAACTTCTGAAAGTTTGGGGATGATCTAAGCATGACTTGGACCCCCTAGGAAAGCATTAATAGGAGTCTCCAGACATGTGCAGCCAAGACTTTGCAGACAGGGCAGGATTGCCCACAGAGTCCTGGCATCCCACCAGTCACAGACCACAGCAAAGCCACCCCAGCCCCTCCCAGGCAGAGGGGTCAGTGTGGAATGTGCAGAAGACAGACAGCTGGAGGAGGAAGCATGTTCCCCCTCTGTGCCTGACATTCCCAGACAGACTTCATGTCTGAGACACAGCAGCTCTCCCTGCTCCTCCTGGGGTGCAGCACTCCCTGCAGCACAACATCCAGCAACCCTTCCATGAGGGTCAGAAGCCACAGGAGGAATAATTCATAAAAGCAACCTTAACAGACAGGCTTAAAATAAACCCATCTGATGGCCTGCACCAGTGTCCCACCAGCCCCACTTCCCTCCTACATCACTCTTTCAGGAACTTCTTCTGGCAGGCTAAGTAATACTAATTCAAAATTAATTAATTCAATTAATTAAGTAATTCAAAAGCTACTACATGAATGCTTCAAACGCACATCTTTGTGATTTCTTTGCATCTGAAACTCACAAATTGAGTGGAAAAAAATCACAGCATCTTTAAATTTTAAGAAAAAAGAGAAGTAAAAACTGCTGGTAAAGCATGCAGGAAAGGTTGCTGGTAAGCAGGGAAAGTGAAAGGCTTTAATGGAGGAAAACTGAATGCATAAGAAGTTAAACTGACATGGAAAATGGAAAGCTGAACGCTAAGACACATCTGGAGACCATTAGAGCAAACTTAAGCCCAGTGGGAGGCAGAAAGCAGAATAGCAGCAACACTAACAAAGAGGAGATCTAGAGAGAGTGAGACATAAGCCTGCACAGTGTGAAATTCTTGCAAAGTTGTGATTTGAAGCTGGGTTGTGGGAGGATCACCAAGCTAGGAATGTGCAGCCTGTCTATGCATAGAATCCTGACCACATCACCAGGGTAAGGAGGAAAGGCAGCGAGGAGGAGAAGAGGAGGTCAAAAGCTAATTATGATACCATGACACTGATTTATACAGAAAATTCATATGGCTGCTTAGCAAAAGGAAAAGCCACAGATAAGGTGACACATGAACTGTTACACTTTCAATATTAGAAATGTGAAACTATGAAGGCAAGAAAAGTACCACCAGGACAGGAAAAGTCCTGGAAGGCGAGTGTCTCAGGAGGTTCCTTTGTCCGAGACAGCTCTGGAAGCCAAATTTCTTAGAAGGTTTAAAAGAAAGACCGGTTTAAAAACTGAAACATGTTGTAGGGAAACAATCAGACACTGTGAAGGGAAGCAGCACTGCCAGGAAGGGACAGAACTTCCATTTCTCAAGGTAGTGCCATTAAACTGGAAGCTTCTCTCGACTACTCACCGGTGAAAGCACTGCGGCAGATGCACCTGTAATCGTTTGTCAGCTGGACACAGTCCAGGCTCCCTCGAGGGTTGCAGGGGTTGGAGAGGCACTCGTTGATGTCCCCCTCGCAGCGCTCTCCTGCAAAGCCCTGGGGGCAGAGGCAGCTGTAGCCCCCCACCTGGTCAATGCACTGCCCTCCGTTGAAGCAGCGCGGAGCTCCCGACTCCGCGGCGCAGTCGTCCACGTTCTCCTCGCAGAGACGGCCTGGCAAGGCAGGGAACAGGGACACATTGAGGATACAGAGCTGTGGCTGCCTTTCCTATCGTGCCTGAAGTTCTGGCTTTCATATTTCCCAGGTTCTGTAGTGCATTGGTAACTCTGAACTCCATATGAAGTGTCAGCCAGTTCTCCTCACAGCTCAGGCACACACAACAATCCTTTTCCAGCCCCACAACCAAGGACACCGCTGCAGCTCCAGCCCCAAAAAGCACAACCAGCAGCGAATGGAGGAGAGCAATCTGGGAGGATGGGACTGCATCACCTGCAGCTGGAATGGGACAATTAAACCCCAATATGGAAATGGACCAAAACTGATTAAAGTGTGAAAACTCATCACCTCCATCCTGGGTGTAGCCTTGGCCAGGCTCTTGCAGTGCCCAAGGTGCATCCTTTGAAGACTTTTTAATAAATCCCTACTTTATTCCTTTAACTCTGTCCAGCCCCTGTTCCAGGCAGCCTCTGGAGGCATCACCTACACTTCTCATCAAGTTTTAGGCCATACCACACACAGTCCCTGAAATAAGCAGGTAAAGATCCCAGCTTAATACGCTGCACACCCTCTGCAGACAGCCAGCTTGGGATCGAGCTGAGGGTACATGTGTTTTTCATCCAGGCTGTCCTCAATGCTAGGCTATCCTGGCATTTGGCAGCTTTCATACTTGATTTAATTTAAGGGCATAATTAAAAACACAAAACCAAAGCAAGCCCAAAAAAAGATGTGCTTGATTTAGCCATGAGACTGAGCAGAGCCCGGGAGCCCCGTGCTGTCCTCGAAAGGCTCCCCTGGAACTGGGCAAAGAGCATTTGTGGCAACAACATTAACACAAGCAACAGCAAACTAACAAAAAAAAGCAGCTAAAACACTGATTTCCTCCTGTCTGGCTTCTGGGGACCTACAGCAAACCCCCAGCAGCAGCAGCAGCAGCCAGGGAGGGCAATTTCTTCTCCTCCCTTGTGGGATTTCCTTTCAAGGGACGAGGTCTGGTTCTGCTTTCACTGCAGGAGGGGATGGAGAGGGGAGGCTGAGCAAGTTTATTGCTGTTCCAACCACAGCAAGTAAAATCCTTCACCTAGATATGGAGGATGCTTATACTAGCATCAGTAAAGTAACTTTTTATTTTCTAATTAATTAATTAATTTGCTTTTAATTAATTACAAACTGGGCCAGGGACCAAAGCTAAGTTTTACTACCCTAAATAACTGTATCAAGCCTCCTCCAATTCCTTTAATTGAAAAATAAAAATCTGTCACGTCCAAAAAGTAATTAATCTCAACAAAGGAAGACTGAAGGGTTAAAAGCAGGACACTCAGAACCTCTCAAAGGATGGTGGGGGATTTGATGGAATACAGAAATCCTGGCAATGTAGATACTGGTACATAAATACACTCCAGGATGTAGAGACCTAAAAAGCAGATTTGTTTCTGCTTTTCTTTTATTGCACTTTCTTTGCCTTTTTTATTTTTATTTTTTTTTAATTAAAGAATAATATTAAGAACATATAATGCATGAAGAATTGGTAGTGCAATGATTTACAATGAAATAAACATTTATCCAGAGTGGGGAGGTGAGCTGAGAGCCACACTAAGGGGAATGAACTGGTGATATTCATGGAAAGGAGGCAAATATATTATTTTCTAATTGTAGTTAAATTTAGTTTATGAACCAAGAATTTATCTGAAGATTTCACCTACATTGAGATAACACACTTCAGAAGGAAAAAGCTAGAGCAGTGTAAAATTTTTAACTGACTTGAGAAATCACCTTAAAAAAGAACATAAAGCTTTTACTGATGGGTTAAAATGGGTTAAATTCTGAATATCTTCAAAGGTAGAAGCCAGGTTCATAGGTCAGATATAAAAGGGAAGGCTAGGTTTCAGGAAACCTGACAATAAACAGGCTGTGGAATTATGTTTACTGAAAACTACTGATATAAACTCTGGACTATTTTTTTTCCCTTTTTTTAAAAAGGAGCTTTTAATAAAAGAGCTCAAATATGCTGAAACAGTTTAAGGTAGACTAGAGTCACTCAACTTCTTTTCTAAGACTCTGAAAAGTCCAAAAGACTCCAGGACAGAGGACACTGAAGAAATTTAAGCAAATAAAGGATATTGGAAGTTTTGTGAGAACTGAGAACATTTCCTATTTATTTCATAGCACCTTAGCCAAAAAGAAACCTTGGATTTAGTATATCAAAACTAAGGTTTGGGAGAGACCTTAACAGCAAAATCATGCATCCACATTGCCAAAGAGAGATCATACATTCCCAAGGGACACTGCCACGACCTATTCCTTTAAAAGAAAAAAAATAAAATTAAAAGGGAGGGGGGGAAAAAAAAAAAAAAAGCAGCATTTATTTTTAAAGAGAAAATATGTGTCTCAAGGGACCCAGTGTACTTTGGGAACATTCTTCAAAGAGCATAATGCATTCCCCTTTCAACTGGTGAAACCAGCAGTCAGAGAGGAAAATTCCCTCCTCCTGTAATATTCAGTTATTGATGGCTGAGTTTCCTACCCCGAGTTCCTGGTGGGCAGGAGCACTTGAAGCGATTGACGAGGTCGATGCAGGTCCCCCCGTTCTGGCAGGGCTGGAACTGGCACTCATCCACTTCATACTCACAGTTGACACCCTGGTATCCAGCCACACACTGTGGGCACAGAAATGAGTGTGGGTGCTCTGCCAGCATCTCAGAAAGGGCAGGGGAGCCCTCCTTGGGGCAGGTTAGGGCTGCCTTTGGAGCTGAACAACTCCACGTGCTTTCAAGGGCTGCTTCAGCACACAATTCAGTCATGGGACACCCAACAGGGCACTGCAAATTTGAGTTAAGAGCGGTTTGATCGCTGCAAAGAGCAGGTCAAATCCTGATATCCTCCAGCATTGAAAGTGGCTTGGTTGTTTTGGCTTCAGGTTTACATAAAACTCATCCTTTCCCACTGGGCATGGGCTTCCAAGGCCATTCTGGAAAGCTCAGGGAGGCTGATATACAATAATCTCATGGCCTACACTGCTCTCTGCATCAGCCTTGGGAAACAGAAAGCAGTGGAAAGCGTTTCCCACCCTGATAGGCAAGGGATACCTTGCCTATCCGACAGGGAAAATACAATATTCCTTGAATACATTTTACAAATATTTTAATATAAACCACACCTCAGGCAAAAAGCTTTTCCAGAGAAGAACCCCCCTCTCCAATAACACAGAGAGTTCACATGCTCATCACCCACAGCTCCTTCCAATCACACCTCTTATTTATCAGTAAATATTTTGTTTATCCCTCTGTATCACTGTGCCTGAAGAATTTATCAGTAAATATTCTATTTATCCCTCTGTACCCCTGTGCCTCAAGTATTTATCAGTAAATATTCTATTCATCCCTTTGTATCACTGTGCCCTAAGTATTTACCAGTAAATATTCTATTCATTCCTTTGTATCACTGTCCCCTAAGAATTTATCAGTAAATATTTTGTTTATCACTCTGTACCCCTGTGCCCTACAAATTTATCAGTAAATATTCTATTTATCCTTTTGTATCACTGTGCCCTAAGTATTTAAGTGTTCTATTTATCCCTCTGTATCACTGTGCCCTTAGTATTTATCCCTAAGTGGTCTATTTATCCCTCTGTACCTGTGCCCTAAGTATTTATCAGTAAATATTCTATTCATCCCTTTGTATCACTGTGCCCTAAGTATTTATTCATAAATATCCTATTTATCCCCCTGTATCATTGTGCCTGAACAATTTATCATTAAATACTCTATTTATCCCCCAGTGCCCCAAGCATTTACCAGTAGATATTCTGTTTATCCCCCTGTGCCCCAAGCATTTCCCAGTAGATATTCTGTTTATCCCCCTGTGCCCTAAGAATTTACCAGTAGATATTCTGTTTATCCCCTTGTGCCCCAAGCATTTACCAGTAGATATTTTATTTATCCCCGTGTCCCAAGAATTTACCAGTAGATATTCTGTTTATCCCCTTGTGTCCCAAGCATTTACCAGTAGATATTCTGTTTATCCCCCTGTGTCCCAAGCATTTCCCAGTAGATATTGTATTTATCCCCCTGTGTCCCAAGCATTTCCCAGTAGATATTGTATTTATCCCCCTGTGTCCCAAGCATTTCCCAGTAGATATTCTGTTTATCCCTGTGTCCCAAGCATTTCCCAGTAGATATTGTATTTATCCCCCTGTGTCCCAAGCATTTCCCAGTAGATATTCTGTTATCCCTGTGTCCCAAGCATTTCCCAGTAGATATTCTGTTATCCCTGTGTCCCAGGAGCCCTGTCCCAGCCCAGCCCCAGCCTCACCTCGCACTGGTATCCGCCCAGGTGGTCGCGGCAGGTGGCTCCGTTCTGGCAGGGGCTGGACTCGCACTCATCCAGCTGCACCTCGCAGTAGCTGCCCGTGTACCCCACCTGGCACTGGCAGTGGTGGCTGTTCCCCACGTTGAGGCAGTGCCCAGAGTGCTGGCACAGCTGGTCCACGGGCACTCCTGAAACAGAGGTTAAATATTTATCCCTTTGTATCACGGTGCCCTAAGTATTCATCAGTAAATATTCTATTTACCCCTCTGTATCCCTCTGCCCAAGTATTTATCATTAAATATTCTATAATATTCTATTTACCCCTTTGTATTACTGTGCCCTAAGTATTTATCATTAAATATTCTATTTATCCCTCTGCATCACTGTGCCCTAAGTATTTATCATTAAATATTCTATTTATCCCCCTGTACCCCTAGTATTTACCAGTAAATATTCTATTAATCCCTTTGTATCACTGTACCTAAGTATTTATCATTAAACATTCTATTCATCCCTCTGTACCCCTGTGCCCTAAGTATTTATCATTAAATATTCTATTCATCCCTTTGTATCATTCTGCCCTAAGTATTTATCATTAAATATTCTATTCATCCCTCTGTATCACTGTGCCCTGAGTATTTATCCTTTTTTTGCTTTTGTATGAGCAAACACACCAAACACACTCTCTGCCAGTGCTGGGAGCTCAGGCAGGGATGGGTGTGGGTAGGACCAACAAATTGAAAAGTTACAGCTTTAAAATTGAAGGGTTACTCCTTAAATTGCACTGGGTCAGAACCAAAACTGGCTTGAAAATGAAGTCACTGCTCTGTCCTCTTTGGATCACTGAATTCAACACTGGCATGAAGTATTTGTGCTGCTGCATTGCTTTAGCACTGGCTGGTGAATACCCACCTGGAGTACTACTGCTGCTCTACAAAGGTTCAATGTTTGTACCTAAAATGTCCCCAAAATGTATGGGAACTTTCTCCTTTCACACTCAATCTGCTTGTCTGGATTTCCTGCACAAAAGTGGCATGACAGTGTCCATCTGCCTGGGCTGCAAGCCATGTTGCCGGACACAAATTCACTTAAAAACCAAATCTTTTACATAAAAATCACCTGAAGTAGAAAATTAGTACTTTGAGGGGCTGTGGTATAAGCTACAAGGCTAAATAGGGCACTTAGTAATGATTATTCTCTGCTTACCATGAGCTCCAAGATGCCTTTTTTGTACAAGGACACCACGTCTCAAACCTGGCCTGCCTGGGGTTTAGCATGAAGAGCTCAAGCATTTCCAAAAAGGCAGTCTGTGTAAAACACTGCTATGGAAACTCTGAGACTTCATAAACTGTTTAATTCTCTCTTTCTTTTTTTTTTTATTTCTCTCCCTTTCTGATGATTTTGTGATGGGGAGAATCAAGACAGCCTCGACTCCCAAGCACGCCCTTGCAGGGAGTATTTTCACTTGAGAAGCGACCACCATCAACCACCTAGAGGCAAAGCTCTCTGGGGCAGGTGCAGGGGGGAAGGAGAAAATGTTTTTTTTTCTCCTGGGGAAATGTTTTTAGCCAGAGCACAGAGGATGCTGGTTTACCTCTCTGTGAAGCTGCCACTTGGCACGAGACGCTGGGCACGTCGCAGTAGGCGCCAGTCCAGCCGGGCGGGCACACGCACCGAGTCTGGGCCAGAGTCTGGACACACGTGCCTTTGTTCTTGCAGGGAGACTTGCTGCACAGATCCACCAGTGACTGCAGAGGAGAAAAGCCATGAAATACAGCAGATGCAGGAGAAACAGCACTCAGATGCAAAGAAAGCCACACTGGAAAGAGCAGGACACTACCTGCCAAACCCCAGCCAGGTACTTTTCTGGCAGTGCCTAACAAAGTTCAGGTGTACAGAGGAATAAACCCCAGATGGCAGCACTATTTCAGAATTCTCACAGCTCACCATGAAGGTGGAGCTTTGGTTTTAGCAGGTTTGATCTCTCCAGTTCCACACTAGCAGGAAGCTGCCAGCTATTCTCCCTCACTCCCCCTATCTGCACTGCTTTTTGAGGATGACAGATGTGTTCCACATTTTGATCCATAATTTTCCTCTCTATCATTAGCTCACCATGCCTGCTCTTGGCCCCATTTCCTGCAGTCTGGTCTCTCTGACTTCTTGTGTCTTCCAAGATTCGACTGAAACCCCACAATAGTTTTATGAACCAAAGATGGGCTAAAACATGCTGCTTTTCTTGATTTCTCAGATAAAAAGAGTCTAAAACTCAGTAAAGTGATCCCATGAAAGATCCAAAATAACTGTCTGATACAATATAAACCAGCCACTAAACATAATTTCCTTTTTTAAGCAATTCAGCTTCAAATTAATACAGCTATTTGATGGATTTCAAGCTGACTTGAGGAAGGGGGAGGTTTTTAAAGTGAGTAGCAGTGAATTTTGGCTGTAAAATGCAATTTCAATTGCAAAAAGTTCTGCTTTTCAGATGCAAACTGTCTCCTCACAAAGATTAAAGTTTAAAAAAAAAAAAAAAAAAATCTGTGCTTTCACAGGCAACCAAAAGGAAACTTGGAATTAAGTTTTATCACATGTAGTTGAGCGTGAAGAAGAAAAAACACCGAGCTCTTGCTTCTGCATTTGTAATGAGTAGCTGACTGTTTTACATGCAAATTCTAAAACTTATGAATCATTGTCTGATTTTGTGCTGCTTATTTAGCTTTGCTAATTAGGTCAAGCCAGTTTACCACTAAGACAAGAACTACAGTGTAGCTGTAATCTATAAATCTCCCCAATACAGCTTTGAGTAGTACTTAATCTAAATTTAGAAAGTTCTAGTTCCTTGTATAAAATGGGTAATACATCACAACCAAGCTTAGCTGAACATAAAGCAGACTTTCTGAGAATCCACAGCATTTAATTTGGGGAAAGGAACATTAATCCTTTTCTCCAGTAAAAACAAAGCAAACATAACAGAAGAGGAACTACTGAACTTCACAGTACTGCAGGATCACTCTCATTGCTAATTCTCCCAATGAGGTTTGAGTGGTGTGCACAGAATGCATAATTAGGGGAGCAGAGGGGTTGCTTTTTTCCTATCACTTCATTACTTTGCATTCACTTCCTCCATTAGCAATACCTAGAAGCAGACCTGACAATTTAATGTCTAGCAACATTCTTCTGTAAAAGCACCTCCCCCACTGCCACTAAAATGCTTCTTTCCAACACTCACTGCTTTACAAAGACAAGCTGGCACCAAAGAGAGCTGCAAAAAATTCTGACAAAATTGTAGTGTTTCCCAGCAATTTAAGAAATTCACCTTTTTTTTTTTTTTTAATGGCAGCACTCAAGACTGCTGGTGAAGGAAGCCAATACAGAATTTACCAATCCAAAAGCAGAAATAGTCTCAAATCATTCAACATCACTCAGTTTCCACTGTGCCACGCCAAGTTAAGGGTTTTTAATGGGCACTAGTCAGTCATTTACAGTACACAGGGTTTGCAGCTCCTGTGGAAAACTAAACTGCCTGAAGTGTGCAAGCAAGGCTAAAGATTTTTATTGAGGTTGTGGATAGGACAAGAATGTCATTTACTGCCTCAAAACATTTTCTGGCTTCTCGTGAAAATAAAAAATAAAAATTTACATTCAACCCTGATTAAAATTTACCTTCCTGTAAAAAATGAACCAGTTAAATCTAAATACTGCTAATCTGATTGATATTCTGGTTTTTGTTTTGTGCTTGCTTGCTGGGTTTGTTCTTTATTTAATACAATACTCTGTCTTCAATCAGGACAATTTCATGCTTTGAATGAAATGCAGCCATTTTCAAGGCTAACAGCTGGCTTTCATTTAAGAAAATTAATCTAGAAAGTTCCAGTGACACCTATTCTCATAAATAACCACTTTTCTCCTCTTGCACAGAGACAGGGGATGGAACTAGATGATCTTTAAGGTCTTTTCCAGCCCATTCTGTGATTTCCAGATTTGAACAGGGGCATCTAACAGGCCTGAAGGAACAAGATCCCCTTTGGCACCTCACACCTCTCTCTTTGCTGCTGGACAGCTCAAACAGCAATGCCACCAGAAGTCACCTGAAACTTTTTTTACTCTTTTGATTCTGCTGTATTTCTCCTCACACCTGGATTTCCCAGTCTCCTCTGAGCTGGGCTCCTTTGGGATAATCTCTCATGGGGAGTTCTGTTTATCTCAGTTCTCTGGGTCAGGAAGAAAACTTCAAAACTTGTTAGGATCTTGTTTCTCGTGTTTATTAGGATGTTATCACAAAACTTGGCAGATTTTCCAGACTTTCTGCACAAGTTCAATTCATCCTGCCCCTTTGGCTCACTTTGGCTTTGATGGCACAACATGGCCCCAAACTACACAGCTGTTTTATCTTTATACTTATTCTTATCCAATTAACAATAGACATATAAATTATTTTTCTTAATGACCTAATGACCCATCACCTGTGTGCTGCACTGTGACATTTTCTATCCAATCACTCACTATTACCCAAAAACCTCTAGAAGAAGAAAATGAAGAAGGAAAAGAGACAACACCCTAAATCCTCCATCTTGTCTTGTGTTTTCTAAACTGGTTTAAACCCTAAACTTTAACTTTTTCACTCAGTGACTTAAGAAAAGTTTCTAATTTACACACTCACACTTTTAGCTTTTGTATCTAACAGTTGTTTTCATGTAACACCATAAAAACATGTCCATAAATTTCATGTTCTGTGAAATTCATTGTTCTCCTGGACCTCAGAGCCAGGCATCAGAGACAAGGGCACACACTCTGTGTCTCAGACTCCACCATCACCCACCTTGCAGTTCTTGCCAGTGTATCCCAAGGGACACAGACACCTGTAGGTGCCCAGGCTGTCCACGCAGGTGCCCCTGTTGAGGCAAGGACGGGAGTCACACTCGTTGATTTCTGTCAGGCAGAAGGGCCCTGTGAACCCCAGAGGGCACTGGCAGCTGAAGGAATTGATCCCATCCACACAGGTGCCTCCATTGAAACAGGAGCTGCGAGAGAGGAGGAAGAAAGGTAAGCTGAGACAAAATGCAATTAGCTCACAGATAAAATAGAACATAAACATGACTGAAATAAGGGAGAAAAGCAGATAAAAGGACCTTCTGACCGCTGCTAACTCCTGGCTGAAGAAGCATAAATCAGAAAACAGCAATCCTAGGGGATGCCAGCTCACCCTCCAGCTCACCTTTGCCCCAGCAGACCAAGAAACTAAAGCAGGGTTTTAATGAGTCATTAGTGATGGATGTAACTTGTTTAATGAAATCTTCCCAGCCTCAATGTGACCGCAAACAGTCCCTCGTGTGGCTTGCTCAAACTGATAAATTTTATTACAAATTACAATTGTATTACAAATTATGAGAAACAAAACAATTTGCCTTCTTTTTTTTTAAATCTTCAAAGGAGTCAGGGCTATGGTTTCTCAAGGAAAAAGTTTATACAACATGCAAAACACAAGCATGTTCTTCACTGAAATTATATGGAAGTATTGGTATTGCTAAATCCCTTCCTTCTCTTCTCATGAGAATCTTAAGTCCTGATTTATAAAACTACTCATACATGCCCTGGCAAAATTCAGATCAAAGGAATTATCCCCCTCCTCCCCAATCTTCTCATCCTAAGAAATTCTGCCAGGTTAGGTGTCCTAGGGAGAAGCGACTGGGAAAGTTTGGAGAATCGATGCCTCATGCAAAATTGACTCAGTTTTCCTTGTAGAGGAGCTCCTGCTCCTCTGAGATCAGACTTGAGATAATCAGTTTGATAAAGCACACAAACCAAATTCATGCCTGCTATCTGCTTTGTGCCCTGCCAAGAGAGGAGCCACTGACTCAGCTCCCTGAACTCACAGTGCAGGGAAGCAAGTTTTAAACATCGCAATTCTGTGATCACCGTAGGGATGTCAACATTAACCTACTTATCAAACATTAAACTGCTTATCAGAGAAGTTCCTCTGTCTTGGAGGCTGAATTCTGTTTCAGAGGGAGAGCAAACTGCCAATCACCTGGTGTGCTTCACCGAAACCAGGCAGCAAAAGGAGAGGGCAGCTTCTCACACAACACAGGGAAGAATCATTTGACCCAAATTCAAATCAGCCAACCACCACAGTGCTCTTCAGCAGAGCTGGGTAATTTTGGTTGAGAAGGTGTGACTGGTTTAGCTTGGCAGAGCCTTGAAAATTGCTACATCTTTAATTCATACCTGCAAGACTGGTTCCTGTCCTGACTGATAACAAAAACAAAAACAGGATGAACCTCAAGGAAGAGCCAGGAGTTCTGCTAAAACACCCCAGCATACTTCACTCCATTCAACAACTGTTGTGCAAATTAAACACACCCTCATCAGTGACACAATCCTGCTCTTAAGAAAAAGATATTAAAATACCTCCTCCTCAAGTGCAATTTTATAAAAGGCAGGAAAGATCTTTTCCATTTGAGCAGAAAATACTTAAGAAAACCAAGAGTTTTGCATAATTTGTCTCTGGTAACTAGACTAGAACAGACTACTTCTTAATTATTTTTTTTAACCATTGCAAGTTTTAAAGAATCTGTTAGAAATTGTTTCCCATCTGAGAATCTGAAGTTACTTACAATCAATCCTAAAGAAGCTTAAAATAAATATGCAGGCAGATGATGGAATCACATGTTTAACTCTCAAAGAGCTCTTAAAACTACCACATGAACCATTTATATAAGGACCAGCTGTTGAGAATTTTAACTCACTTCCACACCTCCCCCTTTAGAACGACCTCAGGTTTTATCTCAACACTGCTAAACCACAACCAATTTGTGAGCATTAAAAGACCTCTAATGATTAAACCTTTCCAGTACAGAACTTAGTGGATTTAGTGTTTCTCCTGGTTGCTTTTTCATATTATTTGCTGTCAACAACTCAGGACTAATTTACTTTTCCTGCCTTTCTAACAGTTGGCCATTGCTTCCATTTATGCAGCTTTTACATTTCTCAACAGACTAACCATTCATAACCAATTATTTCCCCTCCCCTAGGTGACAATGGCCTTGTAAAAATATGAATTATTTATATCTCAATAAGCTAGCATCTCTGTTTTAACCTTTGTTAAACCTTTTTAACCCCATAATGGAACTGCTAGAAGAAAACGAGGACCAGGCAACTGCGCTTCAGCTGATCCAGCTTTCCTGGCAAGAATCACAAGTGTGCCTGTGACAAATGGCAGGAAAAAGTGAATTCCCCTGCTTAAAAGCTGCTTGAGAGCAGGCCTGGCTGGAGGGCAGGAGCAGCAGGAGAGGTGCCTCACCTCTCGGTGCACTCGTCGATGTTGCTCTCGCAGTTGGTTCCCTCGAAGCCCGGCGGGCACTTGCAGGTGTAGCTGTTGACAAAGTGGGTGCAGGTGCCCCGAAGGGCCAGGTCTAGAGAAGTGGTTTCTATGGGAAAATAAAAGATGTCACACAGCCCAGAGTGTGACAGAGTACTGAGAAGTTTTTCTGAGCCACTCTATGAAACAGGTAACTGCAAAGCATGATCAATACCAAATTTACAAGGTGTGGATCAGGGCCAACCTTCAGGGCCCAAAGGTTTCTCTGCTGGAATTTGTTCCAACCAAAACCCAAAGCCTTTTGTTTTATTGTTCAACCAAAACCCAAGGTTTGGTTTAAATCTTAGTTTTAATCTTGGTTTAAAATTCAAATGCTGCTTTTGTGACAGATACCTACTAATACAACAAAGAGTAGCAACTGTTGCTTCTTCCTTACCAAGTTTTATTCATCAGAGGACTCAGCACACTCTCTTTTTTTTCCAGACTCTGCTCAACACAAGAGACAACTTGTGTGTTTAATTTTCAGCATGAAAGCAGTCCAGACAAATCAAAGGTGTATATTAGCACATATATCAGCACTTGTGCATTACTGAGCACTTGATATTTTTCCCAGCATCACAGACTGACTGGGGAAAGGCTGACAGAAAAGATCACAAACTCCTTCACCACCTTGGATTCTCCTCAATCACTGCATTTCTTGATATTTTCTTTATCCCTGCCATGCTCCTGCTACTTGCCCACCACAGTTTTTTGTCTAAGCCACCTCCTACTACTGTATTCCCTCTGCTTCCTCAAGTACCAATCTGCCTGAAAGATTTCTGCTGCTCAGTAACTTCTTCCTGCTTTTCTCCTTCCACTTTTGAATTTAAGACCCACATTCCTGAAGCCAGATTCCTTTTCTACTCTGCATTCCACAGAGCAAAAGCCTAATATATGAAGGCAGAGAGGGAAACTGGGAGGGGGAAGGAAAAAGGGAGAAAGCAGGGGGGTTGAAAAATAGGTTACCAAGCCTTTTTTTTTTTTTTATTTAGGATTATCTTTAAGTACTATTAAAATATGAACATGAAAATGCAAACAGACTCCACCAAAAATTTGCAGTTTATCAGAAGCATCATAAGCTAATTCTGTTTACTGGGAAATGAAGAAATGTGAAAGGTAATTAAAGCTCATTTATTGACTGAGAAACATGCTCACATGTTAAAAATTTGTATTATGAGACACACCTGCAACCATTTAAAGGTCATTTGACTACTGCAGAGAAAAAGCACATTCAAAGCAAGACCCCTGGCAGCTATGAAATGTTGTGTCTGTGGCAGCCAGCCACCTATGAGTGAAGCCAAAAGCTGTGCATTAATTCTCTGTGCCACACATTTACTGACAGAAGAAGGAGACTCGGGTATCAGCTTTTCAATAAGTTCCTGTTGTTGGAGGGTTTGTTTGCTTCATAGATTAAAAGACATTTGGCTCAAGGCATGGAAGGTTTTTGTTATGCTAAATGAAATCAGCTGTGGCAGTAATGTGAAATGCTTCTTCAGCCTCATGGGTGTGCTGCCTAAGACAACACGGGGTGAAGCTCACAGCTCTCAGAACACTTGGGAGGAGGGAGAGAGATGTCCCAGCTGTTCAAAGGTGCAAGATGAACGCTTGGAGAACGTTTTTATCTTCAGACACCCACACAAAAACTAACAGGACAGGCAATGATTTTGTTGGCTTCAGTAAGCAAAGCTCTGGGTCACTGCACTGTGACACTTTTTGTGCTGTACCTGTTTGCTCAGGAAGAAGGAATCAAAAGCTCAGGCTGAGCCAGACACCTCAGAAGTTCTTTGAGCAGTGCTGCTTTGGGGGCTCCCACGGTAACTTTTGCTAACAGACTTGTTTGGATCCCTCTCTACAGCAGTCATGAATTTACATTTTTGGGTTTTTTTCCAATGCAAAACACAATTTGCTAAGTTCACATTTGCTAAGTTTGCCTAAGGTCTTCAAAGCTCCATTATGGTTTTAAGCTGATGGTAAAAAAATGGGGATTGGGGTTTTTTGGGGGTTTTTTGAGCAGTTGTTTTGTGTTTTTCTGGTCATTTGGTTGGGTTTTTTTTTAAAAGACCCAGCCACTCTAAGAATTACAGCATTGTGAACTCCTCCAAGGTTTGATAAAGCACTTTTCAAATAGCAACAAGATGAACTTTTAAACACGTGACATTTCTCAGGAGACTCTGATTTTATCTGATGATGATGATATAGAATATGCCCAGTAAGAAAAAGAAGCTACTATGTATTTGGTTTCCTTTATAAACAGCAGTGTCAAGGATGTGAAATTAATACTTGTTTTCTTGCAATTTGAGCCATTTCAGCACTCATCAGTGTATGGGTTACCCTCCTGCAACTGATACCTATTCCAGAACAGAGGAGGCCTTCCTGCTGCTTCATTTGTTTTCAAATATGGATTAACTGGAACTGCAACAGGACCCACTCTTCCAGGAATATTAATGTCAGACAGACATTTCAGGAAGGACTGCTATACCCCAGATTCCCACCACACCTCAATCAAACTGAACGTTGAAATACAGGTAAGCCCTGCAGTGGCACCTTAACCTGATGCATTAAAATTTCAGGCAAATACAATTTTGCATTTAACAGCACTTCTTATTCAAGTATGTAAACTCTAAGGACCTTCTCAAGTTAAGGATCTGGGAACAACAGCTGCCATCAGTTAGGATGCTGTGGTCCATTTCTAGCAGCCCAACACGCTGGATTTTGACTGACTCAAACATCACAAAGTCATCAACAACACCACCCTGAACCTTGGGGTTGTGATTTTTTTTCTCCTTTTGGCAAGAGATTCTAAAAGAGAGCTCAAAAATCTGTCAAACAGCAGTCAGTAAAGTTATTTTTAGGGAGAAGTGGGAAGCAATGTGCTGATACCCACTGGACAGGCAGTCGTCGATGTTGCTGTCGCAGTCCCCGCCGGTGAAGCCAGGCCGGCACTCGCACAGGTAACTGCCCTGGATGTTGTGGCACAGAGCGTGGTTTTTGCAGGGCTTGGAGAGGCACTCATCAATATCCACTGTGCATCTTTCCCCTGAAATGTGGAGAGTCTGAGGGTGAGAGCCTTCACAAAGCAAGAACCCCTGACAAGAGGCCAGCGCTGCTCAGCACTGGGAGCGCAACACGCCCCCCAGATCCACCCAAATCCACCCAAATCCACCCAAATCCACCTTACCTTCCCAGCCAGGGGCACACTGGCAGGTGTAGCCTTCAGAGTCAGGAGATTCTTGGCAGATTCCCGAGTTCTCACAAGGATTAGGGGAACAAGGAGAAACCACTACCTGGCAGTTCACACCTGGGGCACAGAATGGGAAAAAAGCAGAAGAATGTGCTGCTAAGGGCTCGGTGCCTCTTGGAAGAATGAACAAAGAGGTTGTAACTCACATGGTTATCCCACACTGCAGTGGACAGCACTGGCACAGTTTGAAAAATCTCAGCTGAAGGAAGAGGAGAGCAGAGCACTCCTCATGGGCTGAGTGTAGAACCAGCCACGGTCATTTTGAGTTTAATGCCCCTCCAATTTCCAGGGCATTTATGTAAATTTCATCATTTACAAAGAAAATTAAGCTAAGCTTTCAACAGGGCATTTCTTAAGGCTTAGACAAGCCCTTGCTAAGTATTCTATTACTGTATCATGTCTACAGGAACTGACTGTAATTTAACTTCATACAGCCATGGCATTTCCCATCTTGATTGCTATTTCCACAAAGTTTAATGAAAAGGAATTACTCTAAAGGTGCAATAAAGTAAAAAGGGAAAATATAACAAATTTTCTCCGAGTTTTCACCTTTGAATCCTTTCCTGCAGGTACATCTGTATCCATTCAGCAGATCCTCACAAGTTCCTCCGTTCTGGCATGGGTTTGATTTACATTCATTCCCTTCTGTTGAACAGTAATCTCCTATCCAGCCTGGGTCACAGACACACTTGTACCTTGAAAGGCAAAACAGAACTAGTTTTAGAGCATTTTTTTAGATAACTCCTCTACCAGTTTCTCCTGCAGATTAGCTTTGGAAAGAAAACCAGAACTCTCTTTAGAAGAGCCCTAAATTACTTTAGACTGCTTACCCCAGCTGTATAGTTTTGAAAATACTGAAAATAAGCCCGCCCTTAAAACCACACTCCCCTCACTACAGTTTGCACAAAGTGCTCAGTCAACCAGCAGTATGTTTCTGCTTTGATAAGACCATCTCAACATATTCAAACAAAGACAGAAAAGATAAAAAGATTTTAAAAAAAAAAAAAAAAAGTGGAGGGGAACAATAGGTTCCAAAGATAACTAGACTGATTTAATACCAAATAGTGGTTTCAAATGAAAACAGCTGGCTGGGAGCAGGAGCAATCTTCTCCATCACGTTTCAAAATCTGAAGCAGAGCACACACCCCACCCATGTGATGAAGAAGGAAGGACTTGTTGAATCAGCCTGGACTCAGTTCACACAACACACTGCCCTGCAAACACGGTTTCCTTCGCCTGGCACAGTGTGAGCCGTACGTGGGTTTCAATGCAGAGTGACAGATGACAGACAAGACGAACAAAAATCTCTTTTCCAAGCTTACAAGGAGGCTGAATTAGCAATAAAGGCAGCCTTCCTGCCCTGCAGAGCTACCTGCAGCAGCCAACCACTGCCTTGCCCAAGTGCTGACAACACTTCCCAGGATGCAGCACGTATTTGGGAGGCTATTCCATCTACAGCTGAGAACTTTTACAGACAAAACATCCCCAAACTTACCATTACCAAAAAGAAGTCTGATTTAGGGCTCCCAAAAGCAGCATTTGGGATTCCTGGATGGGAAGATTCAGAAGCAACTACTGCCACCAAAATAAGCAGAGATAATCTTCCTTTCTCTTCTCAGACACAAAACAATATGAGTAAAGCTGACCAAACCTCAGCAGTGGACAAAGTGTCCTGGGTGAAATATCTGTCCCCAGTGTAAAAGTTGTCAGCCTGTGGTGTTTGGTTAGGAAGAAAAGCACCAGCCAATAATGACAGTCCCCCGTGCTCGATGTTTAGGTTTTGATGGAATAGATTGCTACTGCTCCCCCAAGATTTAATTTGGAACCATTTCTTCATTTTAATTGCGTTCATTCCACTCACTAGAATCACCAAACCCTCCCTCTAGACGGTGGCAGCACACCCTGCACCACCAGCAAACACCACAGAAAAACCCAGATTGAAACACCAGCTGGTGGATGAATGGTGATGACACCTCACTGTCACAGGCAGCAGACAAACTGGGATGCTGAGAAATTAGAGAAGAACAGAATTGAGGAAGGAAAGCAAGAACACGGCAGGCAGGTCAGTGGAGTCCTTACCCAGTGGCAGTGTGTGTGCAGTTGCCATGCACACAGGGGTTGCTGAGGCAGCCATCTGCCTGGGCCTGGCAGTGGGGATGGTGGAAGCCCTCGGGGCACACGCAGCGGAAGCCGTTCACCTCGTTGACGCACGTGCCGCCGTTGTGGCAGGGGCTGGACGTGCACTCGTCGATGTCCGCGTTACAGCGGGGCCCTGCGCAGCAAAAACAGCTTCTGGAAAGAGCCTTGGCTTTGCATCTCTGCAAAAACACACAGCTCAGCAAGCGTGGAGCTCACGTGCCTCCAACCCAAGCCAAGAGAAGAGTTTCTGAGAGATTCCTGTGCCTGGAGAACAGCACTGAAACTCGGGCTGGTATTTACAAACCATTCCAGAATCGCCACTGAAAATCACCCGTTAATGCTGATTAGGAAAGCAAGAATCACTCAGCTGGATCATGCTTGCAACAAACCTCTCCAGCTCCACTTGTCTGCAGCCTGCTCCTGTGCTCTGAGGTGCCTACCCCTGGAGTAACCAATACTGCCCAAACGTCTGCAGAAAATACAGCTCTTGTGGTTTATTGCGCAAAAGGGGCGCTAAAAAACACCGTTTCCTGTTTTGCCTGCCTCTGGTTACGACTGCAAGATCCTTGAAGCAGTGACCAAAAGGTCTTGTGAGGCTGGAAAGCTAAACAGAGTGAATGATGCAGTAAGCTGAAAGCGTTTTTAACAGAAGGAAAGGACAGAGCGACAAGACCCCACGCAAGCCGGCTCCCCAAAGACTGGAATATGCCAATTCATCATATTACTGAATTATTTTAACACCAAGAGATCCAGCAGGATAACAAATATGGAATGCCAGCATCATAGGGGAGTGATAGGCATGAGTGATCAGCATCATCCCTCATCTTCTGGGGACTAGAGAGTGCCAGAGCCATAGGAAGGAAGGAGCACCAGGAGTTTAGAAAGACCCCAAGAGAAAAGCACAAGACACATGAAACCTTTTAGTGCTCTTTCTAATGCTTTTCAGATCTATTCTAATTAGAATCATTCAGTAATAAACAGTAACAAACGTGATGAGAAAGCTGTAATAAACAGTACCAGCTGCTTCACAATAATTATTTTGTATTACCCTACATGGCTCAAAACACAAATGCCCTTATAAACAGTGGTAAAGATGTGCTTTAGTCATCAGAAATAGTCCTCATGTTGACTCAAGAGTTCTAAACATGGACCCAGAAGTGTCTAACCACTCATTTTTTCAGCCCCACTTTTACTGCACCAGAGAAACTTTGTAGTTTAAAAAAGAAAACAGAATAGACCATGCTATGACAGAGAAGCACTGAAAAAATCAGGTTATTCATCTGAAGGGAAGCAACTCATGGAGAACACCAAGTGAATGCTGTGATTTCACAGAAACAGAAGTACTGTTCATGGTCAAAGCCCAAGGTGGAGTCTAATCAAACACCTCTCCATATTGCCCACAATCTCTCTGTCCCTGGAAAGAGGCTGTAAATAATAAACCAAAGTCACATGGGTTTATTTGTTATAAAACCAAGAACCATGAATTGGACTTAATTACCTAACAAGAATGGCATTTCACAGCACAGATTAGGCCATTTTTTTCTGTTTGGTGGGACTGGCTGTAACATAAGATGCTAAGATCCAAAGATTAGAAGGGTTTACTGAGATACCAGCTGAATCCCTTGCAGTCAGTATGCAAAGCACAGCTTCCCTGGGATAACTATCTTCAAAACAACTCTGAGCTCTTGGCCAGCTGACTTTACCTGTAAATCCAGGCTTGCAGGCACAGTTGTAGCGATTAATGCCATCAATACAGTCCCCATGGATGCACGGGTTACTGGCACAGTCGTCAAAGTTGTTTTCACAGTTTACTCCTGGATTAAAAAAGAAAAGGAGTTAGAGGAGTAATGAGGGTAAATCTTACAAAGAAGGCAACAAAGCTATTTTCCCAAAATAGCCAAATTAACACCTGCTTCAAAGTCACATTGGGGGCAATTTAAACAGGTGATGATGAAGCAGCACTGCAACACCAAGGCATGCCACCTGAGCCACTGGGTGCTGACTATTGAACTTGTACTAAATACTTAAACACATTTTGAAAACTCTGCCTAATCTTTCTGCAGGCCTCATTTTTTCTGGAGTAAAGAGGAAGCAAATTCTCCCAAGACCAGTTGCAGCAGCACTAAGGGTTAGGCAATCCACACAAACACACCAAAGTTCAGCAAGGAAAAGCAGCGCGAAAACGATACTCTCACACCATCATCTGTCTCAAACCTAGCACGCAACAAGAAACAATTACATGCTTGAATCCAAGCCTTCCACCTGTGTTTTACATACCTGAGGTGCCCAGCAAGCAGTTGCACTGGTAGCCATTGACCAGGTCGATGCAGCGCCCTTGGTGGAGGCAGGGGTTGCTGTGGCACTCGTCAATCTGCTCGCTGCAGATGGCACCCATGTAGCCAGGGTTGCAGACACACGTGTATGAGTCGATGCCATCCTGGCACTCCCCGTGGTGGCAGGGATCGGGGTCACAGTTGTTGATATTCTCCTCACACAGAAGGCCAGTAAAACCTGAGGAAAAACCATCAGCAGGAGGAGTAAGTAAGGAGTTAACTGGTAGTGAATACAGAAAGGATTGTATCAAGAATCAGCAAAAGGGGTGACCGGGCACCTCAACTGCATTTCCAGCCCTGGAGCACAACACTCTGCTCTGTTCACAGCACTGCAGAACAACATCATGCACAGAGAACCCTGGCACTGCAAGTGGTCACCTTCAGTTTATTTGGAACAGCAGCCACGAGAGGAAACATGTAAATGTCCATCAGAAATATTTACTTGCATCAGTATGAACTATCTGAAGGCACACTCCAGCCATTATTTCCTCTACACAGTAGAGTAGGACAGAGTGGGGCTGACCTTGATAGAATGAGAAATTACTGCAAAGATGCTGCTGAAACCTTCCCAAGGGGAACTCCCTTGGCTCATGTCAAAGCTTCTGCAGCTCTGCTTAGCAGAAAGTTCCTTGCCTCTTTCACTGGGAAGCTTTTCAGTAACTGCAATCAAGCACCAACTGCAAACTCACTGAAGGCTGCATGCAACCTCTGGGTTAGGGGCAATGAAACAAAGCAGCAGTTTGGCCTGTTTCATTCTGCTTCAGCTGGGAAACATCCTGAGCAACAGAGAAGGACAGAACCTATGCACAAAAAGGGCTAAAGGCTTTGGGAAGCTGAGAGCAGCCAACAGCTCCCTCAAGAACCCTGCTTTCCATGATGGAGCAGAGGGGACAATTTCAAATAAATGGTTTTCAGAGCAACAGCTCGTGCTGCTTTCCAGCAGCTGAAGATCAGGAAGGCAGAACTTGAAATTTCAAGGCACCAACCGGAGACTGATACAAACCAAGCTGCAGGGAATTTCAACAGCTGAAGAGTGGTTCTCACCTGAGCATTTTAAGTGGATAAGAGGCTCCCCATTTTTCACACAGGTTTGTGGTTATTTCTGTGGTCAAACATACCAGGTGACGGCTAACATTTCCAAGTTCTGCGAACGTGTGCTTGGATGAATGGGTGTGGAAGTGGGTGGGGAGAGGGAAGGGAAGCTAGTTAGAGAGATGGATATAAAAAGATGTTAGGGAAGGAGGAAAAACAAACCGATAAGGGGACAAACGGTGGCAGAGGGAGGGGAAATAAAAAAAAGGGAAGAGACAAATAAAAGAGGAGAGACCTGAAACAACCCAAGAAAAGAAAAGCCATGATCTACCACTGGGAAGGAGAAGTGGAATAATGCCAGAAGGGAAAGAAAAGACAAAAAGCAAGCAGTAAATAGAGCTATCTGTACAGCATTTGGCCAAACATTTTGCAGTTTTCAATCACGTCGGCAGCCGGCGATTACCATTCAGGGAACACATCACTCATATTATGAGATTAGCAGAGCAAGAACATACTCAAACATTATTGTCCAGTAACTGACCTGCCCCCATGAGGAATTCCACATTTCAGTCTTACAGAAGGCTGTCAATATTAAATATAACACTTAGCACAGGTTCATTCCAAAGTCATTACCTTGCCTGCTGTTGTGGCTCAACTGGGCCACTTGGAGATCAGGAATATTTCTGGATCTCTTAACTGAACATACCTCCCCAAAACATAATTTCTCTCTCTGCAGACAAGGGCTAAGCTAGGCAAAAACCATTTGAATATAGACTGTGAGAATCCTTCAGACAGGATGGAGAACAGCCCTAATACAGCGTCTCTCTTCCATTTTCAGTCAAAGATTTAACCAAGAGTTTTACTAAGAGCTGCTGCTTTGGTTGCTCTCAGCCTGAAAATGCTCCATACACCTTTTGCTTTAATGGAAGCAATTGTCTTCCCTTCTCAGGTGGGATACCTAGAATTTCTGTATTGAGGTGGTTCATGCAGCTAATTTTAGTGCCAAATTCAGAACTTGCTTTTCAAGGCACAGCTCTCCACATTGTCCTCCTCCACACCACCCAAAACCCTCCCAGGCCTGATAAGCTCTGCATACTCTGCAAATGACAGCAACCAGAACACACACCAGCTTGAGAAAGACTAAAACAGTTTCCAAGTTTGGAGGAGATTTGAGCTTTTCCTTCTTTTTGCAAGTGTCTGCTTAGTTTGTCCCATGAAGAAAAGGAAAATTCTGAGCACTGCAATAATTTCTCTCCCGGTCACAACTACTGCATTCTCCTTCTTCCAACAAATTCAGTGTCTCTTCAGGAACTTTGGGAATGCTGGAGACCACGTGTGAGAAAACCCAGGCTATTTTTAGGCTAACCTCTGCTACATTCTATGCAGTGAAGTCAAATATGCCTTAATAATTTGATTGTTGGAGTGATCCAAAACGAGAAATGTTGCACATAAATTTAACCAACCTCACTGCACATTACTGGGACTAGGACAGCTCCAGGAACTGTTCAGCTTCACCCCTGACAGAACAGCTAAAACCAAGGCATTTCCTACCTGAACCTGTAGCATGAGCAGTGTATCAGGCACCATCAACTGAGAGCAACCAAGAGTGGCTCCTTATTGAGAATTAGAATATAACAGCTCTCAACCCTCTTATTTGACCAGATGTAAAAATGAAGATAAAAACACATCTACATCACCCCTGGAGGTCTGAAGATAAGAAAATCCTATCATTAAACCTGACGCTTCTGAATATGTAATTCACCAGGCATTAAAAAAAACCACCTGAGTTCCAGCCACAGCTCTGCCAAAATTTCTGTGTGATACCTGACAAACCATTTCAGTCACTCTCTGGCAGGCAGCTGCTGAGTGGAATTTCTTCCACAACTGCATTTCAGTCTTAGCTTTTGACATAAAATAGCCTGATGCAGCAGAAATCAGAATGCACAGCAGCACTGCTCTGTCCATCTCTTGTTTTTCAACTGCACATGATATAATCTGGCTTGGGAGAAAGGGAGGTAAACCACAGATTAGAGCCTTCACACTGATGTTTTTCCATATGTGGATTCCATATTTAATACAGAAGAAGCTGTCGTCTTCTGGGAAGTAAAAGATGGTGCTGAAAGAGGGAAGCCAGAGCTCCCATCAGCTGTGAACTGAACTGCCACAAGTGAAAGGCTTTCTCTCCTTAAATACTATTCCCTGCACAAAGGAGTGGACAAAGCTCTGCAACAAACAAATTTCAGAGAGAGAGAGAAAAACCACTGACATCTTTGTGACCAGCCTTTCATGTGTTTAGGTTACCTCCATCCAGGGGCTCTGAACACAAGACTGACCTGTGGCACACTGGCACTCGTAGCCATTGGGGTGGTCAATGCATTTGGCTCCGTTGAGACACGGCGTGCTGGAACAGTCGTCTATGTCAATCTGACACACGGCACCGCTGAATCCTGAAAGGCACAGGAACTGATGGAAACCCAGGAGCTCATCCAGACAGCTGCACTGTCAGGGATTACCCACTGGCACACTCTCAAACCCACCCAAACCTCAGCTCAGCAAATCTACACCACGCCCTGGGTGGACTGGCTCCTCGTCCAACCCACCCTCCAAAGGTTCTGTCTTCCAGGCCAAAGCTGGGATGGCCAAATCAAACAGAAATAATGCAGCATGCCTGCCTGTAAAACTGAGAGCCCACCAATAAAAATCTTTGAGGTAATCAAAGCAAGTAGCTAAAAATAAAACAACAGTGCATACATCACTAGAGCGCTCAGAGTCACTACAGCAGAGTGGAATGTGCTCCAATGCAATATATACAATATAGCACTGGAGCTTTCAATACACTGCTTGAAATAGTTAACAAAGAACTGACAGGTGATGTCAGGTGATGCAGATCCTCAGGCAGCTTGAGAAAAATAAAAAAATTAAAAACCATCAGGAATCCTTGGAGGAAAGAGCTAAAGCAAGAGCCTGAAGATCATTAGTCAATAAGAAGGGATGCATGTCACGAATATTCTGTACTCAAAATTTTTTGGTAAGCCATGAAGAAAACAAGTGATGTTCACTCTACAGCTAACATTGATCCCTCAGCTCAGCTGTTTTCCTTTTCTAGTGGAGCCAAATTCATCTCACTCCTCATGCAAGCAGCATCTGCAAAAAAGCAAGACCAGCTTCTGCCTGAAATCCTCAGAGAAAGACAAAAAGCCTGCAGAGGGTCTGGCCTCTGAAATATGCTGAGAACCTCACTATAATTTCCACAACAGAAGCTCACTTTGCCAGCTGCCCTTTTAGCTGAGGTGTCCAACTGTGTGCTTGTCAATTCTTGCCCTATTATAAGCACAACATTATTGCAACCAATATGAAACTATTCTGATTTAATATTGATGGCACCCCACTCAAACAGCTGCTGCCTTAAGAACAGCAGAAACTCACAAGAAACACAACATCTGTGCAGCTCTTGGTGGGGTGAAGCAGGAAAAGCTTCCAGAAATAAGAACTCACCAGGAGGACAGACACAGAGGAAGCGGTTGACCTTATCAAGACAAACTCCATTGTTCACACAGGGATTACTTAGACATTCATCAATATCTTCTTCACAGTGAACTCCTTTAAAACCTGTCAAAAAAATAAAAATAAATGAGAAGAGGTGACTGAAGGCTGTAGAAGGTGCCCTTGAGGGCATAACTGCCTCTTATACCAGTGCTGAAAGTCTAAGCAGAGTTTCATTGCAGATTTGCAGTCTGGACAGAAACTATGAGGTAAGAACACACACCAAAGGTGAAAAAGGGATTGATTGTGTAGGTTTCACTGTTGCTGAAGATGCTCACCTAACCAGCAATAGCAGAAGTCTATGCTGAATTCACATCTGATGTTTTTTTTCCACTTGAGAAGGGGTTATGTTAATTACTTTGTAAAAGGTATATAAACAAACACAACAGATAGTTTTAGCTCAAGGGCTTTCAGCTAAAGGCAGAGCACAAGAAAAACATTAAGAAGGGTGAAATATTTGGAGAACTAGCATTCCACCTTTTAAAGCATATTAAAGATTAATAAATACTATATTAATAAAAATTCCTTGTAATTGTTATGGTATCAGCAGACACCATGACAATTTTATCATATATTTTAATATATAAGCACAACATTTTCTATCTAACATTTCTTTCTATCAGGGTGCAAAACAGAAAACTAACGTTGGACATTGCAAATTTTACAAATTGGCCATGCAAATTTTGCAAGGACAATTTCAACCAAGTAGTTATTCTTACAGTGACTTCCTCAGTTCAACAGGAGCTTGCATTATTTGGGGGTATTTTAAGCAAAGAAAAACCCCAAACACCATTCTCCAAAATCATCATATGCATTCCTCAAAACACAGCCACTCTTTTAAAGGTTGCAGCAGCTTTGCTTTCACAAGCAGAAGACTCTGCACACCACTCCACCAGACACAGTAACAAATATTATCACACATACCCAGCTCAGAAGGCCAACTTCCTTTGCTGATGCAGAGATTGGTTTCTTTCTCAGCCCTCTAATTGCTTTCTCCCTCCCACACACACAAATGCCAGCTCCTCCTGGCTGGTGCCAGCACAGCAGGCTCTCTCTCACCCTTCAGCCTCACCCCTTTGCAGCTTTGTGTTCCACCTGAGCAGAGCTGGCAGCCCTCCCCGAGCTCTGCCTTCTCCCACCTGTGTCACAAACCCCCCTCACCTGGCATGCAGAGACAAGTGAACCCTCCTATTTTATCCAGGCAGGTGGCATCGTTCTGGCAGGGGTTTGAGTGGCACTCATTGATGTCCATCTCACAGCGAGGTCCTGTGTAGCCCTTCAAACACTCGCAGTGGAAAGAGCCCTCCGTGTTGACTGTGTGTGTGTGTCAAAACCTCTCCTCAGAGCAGGAAAGACACAGCATTCTTTATTAATTGTGGTCTTTTCCAGTGGGCATTCCTTTCTGGCAAGTAATATTGGGGGAAGACTGCTCATGCTTCTGGGGGAAAGGCCACTGAAGAAAGCAGTGGCAGCTGCTCGTCTGTCAGGGGCAAAAAGGATGGCTGTCACTATCAGGGACCAGAGGAGTAACTCTGCTTCATTACATGTTACTAAGGACAGCTCTGCAGAGAAAAGTATCAGCCAGCAGGGGTTAGAGAACTAATGATGTTTTCAAGGCCTTATTTCCAGATCGCATTTTACATTTACTTCATTCCTGAGGCTGACAGGATGCAGCCACAGCCACAAAACAACCGAACTTGTCCTTTTTGTGTTTTCAAAAAGGAACAGCACTCTTGTCCAAGTCAGACTGAGGAACAAAATTCAAAGAAGTGCTTCTTTCCAACCCTTCTATGAGTGCTGGTTAGGCATTACCTTCACGCACCACGCTCTAGAAGCACGAACGAGCACTCACAAAACCGTGAGTAAGCCTGTAAGAGTCCAGCTAATCCCCAAAACAACACAACAGCATGCTATCAGAGAACTACTGCTTTAAAAGCCCACGTGGTCACCAGTCTTGGAAGGCACTCAAAAGATCCAGCCATATTCTGGCTGTCAAACAGCCCTGATATATTTCTACCGAGGCCGTAGCCGCAGCAGCTCCCACATGAACTGCGGCGCTTTCATTGTACCCTGCAGTTCTAAGGGACAGCTTAATTATCACATCTGTTTGCATGCACTCCCCACACAGCCCTAAAGCCCTCTTGCACGAGGAAGAATGGTTAAGCATCTCGCTGCTTTTCACATTCCACTTCAAACATGGACAACTATTCCGGCTCAGCTCCTCGCCCCAGGTCTCACACGAGGCTTAAAACGCATCTAAAGACGCTGAAGTGGAAGGGGGAGAGCATGAAAGGAGTCCTTGGGTGTGGAGAAGCTGTGACACACCCTTGCACTTGCAGAGAGCAAATGGGAACTCACCCATTGCACACTCATCCACATCCTCGGTGCAGTCTGCTCCCTTATGGCCCTGGGGACAGGTGCAGATGTAGTTTCCATTCACGGGGTTGGTGTCACACAGAGCACCTTTCTGGCACGGATTGCTAACACAGGCGTCATCCAAGTGGCACAGAAGACCTAAAGAAGCACCCAAGAGTTTATTAAAACAGAGAGATGCAGCAGTCAGACTGTATTTTACACAAATTCTGTGTCCTGATACTTCAAACAGAGGCTCTCACAGCTAGAAACTTGAGCAATGTCTTACAGGCTTGAGCCTAGGAACTACTGTAGAGAATTCATCACACCCTTATAAAACATTAAATACAAATTCTGTTACTTTGGAGGTGTCTCCAGCACTTCTGAAGTAGGAAAATGGCTGACCACTATCAAAATCTCATCCTTGGAGCAGTTAACAAACTCTTCACTCAAACCAGTGTGGTAATTTTTCTGACAGCTGAAAAGGTGCACATGAAGCTCGTTTTAATTCAGATATGCAGACCACTTTTGTTTCCATGTAGTTAGGAGATTCACCTAACCGAAACCAGAAATTTTTCCACTGTACCAGTGAGGATGCCCAGATCCTAACACAATCACATAAAAATATCTGAATTTGCTTTCTGGGTTCATATGATTATTATAAGGGGCATAGAGCAAGTCACACTCACGTGCAACCTCTCGAGCAAATACAGATTCTGCTAGGGGCTGGGAAAAGATCTCTCCTTGCAACCTAAACTACAAGAAGTTTGTCTTGTAGCCTGGTACAAACACCTCTTTGTCCCAGGCTAGAGGGCTTTAGCAGCTCTTTGCTCACGGACGGCGCTTTTCCTTTCGGCGGCCGAGCGCGTGAAACAAACGCTTCAAACAAGCGCACAAACCCCAGGAAGCGCCTCCCATCAGAGTACCAAGACTCTGTGGCCTCACCTGCCTTTCCCTCTGGACAAATGCAGGAGAAAGAAGCCACCCTGTCGATGCAGGTGGAGCCATTGGCGCAGGAGGCAGTGAAGCAGTCGTCGATGTTCTTGCTGCAGTCGTCGCCGCTCCAGCCGTTGACGCAGACGCAGGCGTAGCCCCCGTTGTGGTTGGTGCAGGTGCCCCCGTTCTGGCAGGCATTGGGCTGGAGCTGGCACTCATCCACGTCCTCGGTGCAAAACTGGCCTGGTGCACACAAACAAATGGGTTTAGTGGTGTTTCAGATGCTCAGGCTCCAGGAGGTTCTTGCACGGACAAGGTGGCACCCAGATTCCAGATGACCCCAGCAGCAGCTGGGCTGCAAGTGACTTTAAAAAGAATCACTTTAAAAAGAGTCACTTTTAAAAGAGTCACTTTTAAAAGAATCACTTTTAAAAGAATCACTTTTAAAAGAATCACTTTTAAAAAGAATCACTTTTAAAAAGAATCACTTTTAAAAAGAATCACTTTTAAAAGAATCACTTTTAAAAGAATCACTTTTAAAAGAATCACTTTTAAAAGAATCACTTTTAAAAAGAATCACTTTTAAAAGAATCACTTTTAAAAGAATCACTTTTAAAAAGAATCACTTTTAAAAAGAATCACTTTTAAAAAGAATCACTTTTAAAAAGAATCACTTTTAAAAAGAATCACTTTTAAAAAGAATCACTTTTAAAAGAATCACTTTTAAAAAGAATCACTTTTAAAAAGAATCACTTTTAAAAAGAATCACTTTTAAAAGAATCACTTTTAAAAATAATTACTTTTAAAAGAATCACTTTAAAAAGAATCACTTTTAAAAGAACAATTTTTAAAAGAATCACTTTTAAAAGGTGCAGCATGAGCCTGTGTATCTGCCTTACAGCAGGCAGCCCCTGGCACATTGGAAATACAGCTCTGAGGAGGTGAAAAGCTAAAAGAAAGAAGGGCTGCCTGCAGGGCAGCCAGAGGGAGTAAGAGAAAAGATGGCATGACAAGAAAATCTTGGCCAAAGGAGTATCAACAGGTAACACTTGTCAGGAAAACTTAATTCTTCCCTGTATAATTATTCAGAGATGATTACTCAGTGAGGAAGAATAGAATTCTTAAAATTCTTCCACCTGAAATACTGATTTTTCTTGCCTCAGGTATTGTACAGACAACCACAAATACTCAGGAGTTTCTTGGTTGTTGAGAGGTTTCCCTTTTTATTTTTTTTTTCCCCAGTAACACAATAAATAATCCAGAAATGTTCTTATTACTGGAGATACTAGAGACAAGAAAATAAATGTACTTTCAGGGAGATTTAAGGAAAAGAACCAAAGGACCAGTAAGTATGAAATAATTTTCAAAGGATGCTCAACTTTACAGTCACATCTATGGAAAGCTCTGCAATTCACACTGAGTGAAGTCTTTTTTTGCTGAAATCCATCTTGCTTTGACACCAAAATCCAGAGAACCTACCACTTGCACTAACATTTTGCTTCAACAGTTATTCATCTTCCCCATTAAATGGCACAGTTTACTTTTAAGCCAAAATTGTTTAGCTGAAGTTTCAAGTCATTTTGAGTTACCTGAACAGATAAAGCCTCATGAGCACCAGCTCATTTCTTCCCAGGCTGGTATATGGGTACATATGTGCAACCACAGAGTACTGTCACAGTCCACAATCTTCTTCTTGATAAATTATTTCTCTCCTTCCAGTCTCATTAAAAATTCTCTAAGCACTGAAAACTTGCCTTTATTTTTTTTTTTTTTGAAGCACTTCTCACTAACTTGTTTTTGCCACCCTTCCTAAAACATTGCCAGGATGCACGCAGCATCAGAAGATAGCACTTTATCAGAGAGTAAGATTTGATTTGTTTGATGTGACCTTCCCATCCCCTCTCTCACTGGCTTCCAGCAGCTCTCTGTTATTTGGTCCTTTGGTAAATGTGCTTCTACCATAAGATTTCTCCTCTCCAGCTCCTCTATCTGCTGCACATTTACATTTGCATGGAATTCCCCCCGTATTCCAAGAATAAGAAATTCAAGAGCAGGTCACAGTGCACCTGGGCTCCAGTTTATTCAGGCTTGCCAAATTAAAAATACTTGTTAGATGCTGGTAAGTCACACTGTTTATTAATGGCACAGAAACGATGATGTGAGGGCACAGACACACCCTCCCCTCCAATACACCAAACTGAAACATTTATCATGAGCAGGAATCTAAAAATGTCCAAACTTAACCATCTCCATCTACTATTCTTGTGATTTTTTTTGTTTTCAAAGTACTTAGATAAATCCTAACCTTAGATCCTGTGAGACCTGGATATTTTTTTTTTCCACTTAGGGGCAAAGAAACAAAATTATTATTAAAAAAAAAAAAAAGTTCCATTCTTGACTACTTCAAAACAACAATTTTATCACTTGAAAAACCACAAAAAAAAATTGACAGTAATGATAATTACAGCAGAGTTTTCAGAATTAACCTTCAATTCCCGGCTTGCTTAGTGAAAGAGTGGGGGGAGAACCCAAACCCTTTTTGCTGTTGTTATCTGTACAGCACCTCTGTGCATTGTGAACAAACAAACCATGCATTTGTCACACTAAAAGTGGTTTGTTCAGGAGCTTTCAGTGCTGCCTTATCAGCAGCCACCCTGAAAAGAGCCAGTGAGCTGGGGCTGGTTCTGAGCAGTCACGCGTTCCTCGCAGCTCAACACAATCGCCTTCCTTCAAGAAAAAATAATCAAGATGTTATTTGCTCGTTATTAAAGTGATTTTTCCTTCTGTTCTTGGAGGGGGCCCAGCCCAGATCAAAGGACTCCCTTCTCACATCCTTTTGGCTCGGCCAGCCTGAGCTGCTGCCACCAAAGCTGGAGGAGGTTTTCAGCCACAGCACTCCACAGTGTGGTGCCTTCCAAAAGAAATCATTTGCCTTTTGACTGGTGACCAGAACTCAACACATGAAACACAGCATAACTCAATATATGAAATATAAATATATGAAATATATTAATATTATGAAATATATGAAATATAACACTCCGTGGGCTTTGGGCAAGGTGACTGAGTGTGGGAGTACCCATTGTTAATTTGCATCTTTTTTTTGCTGTTGGGGGAATTTTGTTGTTGTTGTTTGTGATTTATTTTTTTAAGCAAAAAATGGGCTAATCCCCCATATAAACTTATCAGGGCTTGGTTGTGATTTCCCATTTCTAGTAATACCAACACTCAGGACTTTTTTTAGGTTTTTTTTTTACTACTACTCACCCTCCACTTCCAGGAAGGACAAAGTGACATCATTGATGTCCTTGCAATAACCCTATGTCCTCAGCTATTCCATTTTTCTGCAGCCCTAAAGTAAAACCAACTTTTAAAAGATCTATCAATGCTTCCACAAGGGAAGGAAAATACAGAGCTTAAACTTCTTCAAGCAATTGAACTGTATTTTAAATTATATAAATTTATTATATAAATTTTATTTTTACCACATTTGAGCTCCTTGAATCTGCCCCTCACTTGGCTTCTCCAATTTCTAGTGCCCCTTTTGCAATACAATTGTGTTTGTGTTTAATTATGAAAATGAATCAGAGCTCCAGCTTAACGCAGTTTGTTTTAAAAACAAAGGAAATTCAATTCCATATATAAAGAGGCATAAATGAACAATTAACTATTGCATTTTGCTATTGAGTATTTTAATGAAAAGAACTTGCTCTTAATTGAAGACTTCTCTCTGCCAGGTTAGTTAGACTTAAAATTAAGTGAGAGGAGCTCTCTGAAACAATTCATTTAGGGGATGCTGCTTTGACTTAACTGCAACAAAATAAATATATTTCTTTGTAGCCATGCAGTTGGCAAGAAAGTTTTCTGCTTGTTCAGAGTTTTAGGAAGAATTAAGTCTTTCATTCACAGAACAGAAATTCAGCTTCCAAGGACAAAGTCCATGATGGATTGTGCAAAGGCTGCACGGTGTAATACACATGTCCATAACCCAAGTAACTTCTGAATGTTACAACTACTCAATATCAATTCATCTAGCTGCAAATTCGTGTAGGTATTTCTTTCCTGGAGCTCTTGCTAGTTTCAATTACATTTCTTAAAGACACATAGTAAACACAGGCTGAACAAGTGCAGCGTGAATACACTAACAGCACAATATTTTGATGGAAATGTAGAAACAAAAGACAACAAGAAAGGAAACACACTTTGCTCCAAGAAGGTAAGGAAAACCTAGCCTGACCTTGATATTTGCAGAGCCTGGGAAATCAGTAAAATGCCAACTCAGGTTCTGAGTGACCTTGTACAAAGTAAACAGCAAGTCCATGTGCTGTTTCAAAATTCAAAACTAGAAGTAGAAAAAGGGAACAGCCTTCAACTCTTGGCACTTTTTGCCCACTATGAAACTAAGTTACTTCCTGCATATTTCCCCTCAGAAAAGCCATAAGGAGTAGGTCAGATGTGTCTGCTGCTTTGATTGCTCCCGTTTTCAGAGCCTCAGGAACTGCAAGGAGCTCCAGGAGCTTCTCTTTTGGCAGACACGGGGCTCAAGGCCACCCTCAAGTACTTGTGCCACATCTCATTGATGAGAAACAGCCAGCCTTTCTCCTTCTTTAGGTCAGAAATAAACTAAAGCCTGGTTTATAGCAGGTAAAGCAGCACACAAAATTAGAACAATCCTACACCAAAAGTGAGGAGCATTAGCTTGAACCAGTCAGTGAAACAATCACCCTGGAAAGCAGCACCAGACATCTCCAAAATCCCACCAAATTTACAGAAAATTTGGTAGCAGAATTGAATGCAGAATTCAATTCTGAATTGCAGCTGAATGCAGAACCTTCAGACAGTTCAATCAGAGGACTTCATCTTTGGCAGAACAGACTTTCCATAAAGGAGAACATTTTCTTGGCCTCTTAACAGCAGGAAAGTCTGCTGATGCACAGCTGGAGTATCAAAGGCTAAAGCTCCTGACAGCAGATCTAATACAGTTTAATCACTAAAAATATTTTGTAGGGCAAAGGGTGCAAATACTTTCCTGAGCCTTGAAAAAAAAATAAATCAGTTCCTTGAAAACTGAGCTGGGAGGGGACAGCAATATCCCATTTCTCTCAAAATCACAACCACCCCAGTACTGGGCTCAGACTGAACTGGAAGTCAGAATATCTTACAAGTTTAGTGATAGTGGGAAGGCAACTTGGTGAGAATCACAGACTGGTCCTCAGATCTTAGGAGACTCACTGGAAGGGGAG